TTTCTGTTACAACCTTTAGAGTTTCGATAACACTGATATAACCAAGTTTTTGTGCAATATCCAAAGCAGTTTGTCCATTCTGTAAAACGTAAAACAGCTGTATTTTAATAATTTGCACAAAAGCATTGCCTTGTATATCGAAAATTGTACTTTTAGCTACTTACATTGGTTACAGCATTTGGCTTAGCTTTACTTTCTAACAGTAAATTAATAACCAGCGTGTGGCCCTGCTGTGCAGCTTGATGTAACGGCGTATAACCAGCATTGGTATTGTTATCAACAGTTGCACCAGAGCGCAAAAGGAATCGTACCATTGCTGCCTGACCAAAATGAGCTGCAACGTGCAATGGTGTGTAACCAGCCTGAAACAAATACACCGTTTGATATAAAAATAACATTTGCAAGATAAAATTTGTTTTTGAAAAATAAAAAAAAATAAAAATAAAAGTATTTACTATCTCTATAAAGACAATAGAATCAAGTGGACAAGTCGAATACTGAGAGAAAACAATACAAAAACACAACCTAGAACTATTTAAAAGTACTTGTTATGTCTCTAATGATAATTGAATTATAATGACAATGTTATTAGTATAACCGTGAGTATATTTTTTTTACAGTCAGTTATAGTATTTATCTATAGTGCCATTGATCTTTCACTAATTGTATTATTCTTTTCATAGCACAAATGTTGATAAACATAACTACATTACCTTTGTTTTAACATCAATCTGTGCACCATTCTTTACGAGAATAGAAGCAACATTGACTTTATCCTCTTGTGCGCATAAGTGTAACGGCGTAAGACCATTCTGTAAAGATAAATAAATAATAGAATAAATAAATAATAGAATAACAAATTTCTCAATGATGCGGTTATACCTTCGCTTTATGATTTGTGTCTGCCTTGTGTTCGATAAGCAAAGTTGACATATCAGTATGTCCTTCTTGTGCACTTAAATGTAGTGGTGTAAATCCTGCTTTTGATTCTGCATTCGCTTTTGCACCATATTCCAATAATGTGGTTGCAATGTCCATCTGTATACAATAATTGAAATATTTTTATCAATTCTGTCAATTATTTAAACGTCGTATAGAGAGTTTTCATCCCGTTTACTTGCCTGATTTTTTCGTGCTGCAATATGTAAAGGCGTGTGGCCATTTTTAGCCATAGCATGTGGCGAAGCACCCTTATCTAATAGAAGTAATGCTACATTCTGATGGTCATAATGCGATGCTACATGAAGAGGAGTTACTCCGTTCTATATTCAATAAATATGATCGATCAAAATATTTTAATTCACTACGTATAAATTGTCATTTAATATATTTAAAAAAAAAAAAAAAAAAAAAAAAAAAAAGTGCTTACCTTTCCTTGAGCATCAACTGGTGCATTTTTCTGTAGTAACAACCTCGCTACATTCATATTGCCGTATTTAGCTGCCAAATGTAAAGGTGTAAAACCCTTTTTAGTCGTAGCAGTAAGTGATGCCCCATTTTCTAATAAAACTGAAGCAACCTGATGAACGCATAAGAAATAAGATGTAATACGTTATATTTGACATCGGTATTCTAATCCTATATTATAGGATTAATAATTACTCATAAATAGTTTACATATAAAATAAAAAATCTTTACCTCTTCTTGACCTTCCTTAGCCGCGATATGAAGTGGAGTATATAAATCTTTCGTTGTGGCATCAACTCCAGCACCGTGTTGTAATAGCAACATTACAATGTCAACATTGCCTAAGCGGGAAGCAACGTGAAGCGGTGTTTGCTCCTCCTAAAAAAAGAGAATTATATAATCAACATCAAGATTATTCGAAATAATGATGAAATTTATATGATATACTTACTCTTGCTCTAGCGTCAACTTGAGCACCGTTCCTAAGAAGTATTCTGATAATATCAGTCTGGTTTGCTCTAGCAGCTAAATGTAACGGCGTCTCGCCTCTTACTGTCGGTATGTCTGGACTAGCTTCGTGTTGCAGCAAGTAAATGACGATGTTCATACATCCCATAAAACTTGCTACATGCAGCGGAGTTAATCCGGACTACATAAAACAAACAAAAGTAAATTGAATTTTTAATAAAATAATTTTTAATATTTAACAAAAAATACGAAAAATACATAATTACCTCCGTAGTAGCTTCGATACTAGCTTTGTGTTTTAAGAGAAGTTCAACTACTTTAATTCTGTTCTTCTTACACGCAATGTGTAGAGGTGTGAAACCATTGAGTGCGCGTGCATTAGGATCTGCATTTCTATCGAGTAAAAGTTTGGCCACCCTTACGTGACCACAATGAGCTGCCACATGCAATGCTGTCAAATAGTCCACTGTTACTTCATCCACAGGTGCACGATGATAAAGTAGAACCCTTGCGGCATCTACATGATCCCCTTGAGCAGCCATGTGTAATGGTGCAAGACCATTCTGCATTTCAGTCAATAAAAAATACATTATTTAAAATGTAGTCAAATAATTTTTTCTTTCTATATAATCTATTACCTTTGTTTTAGAGCCAATAGGTGCTCCTCTTTCAATAAGTATGTCAACAACCTCATGATGACCTGATCTTGCTGCACAATGAAGAGGAGTAAGGCCATCTCTCGTTTTTGCTTCGATATTTGCTCCTTTACTCATAAGAAGATTTACCATTTTAATTTTTCCCCATTTTGCAGCTACATGAATCGGCGTAATATTGTGCTATACGAACGGGCAAAAAAGAAAAAAATATAAATATAACTTTTCAAATTGTCTCTAATATGTATACATATACATATACATACATACATACAAACATATATTGTATATGTTTTGATACTTACTTTAGCAGCAAAATTTACATCCGCACCTCTATCATAAAGTAAGGAAGCAATTCGATCGTTGCCATAATGTGCGGCTATGTGAAGTGGTGTGAAACCGCTTTTCGAAGTTACGTCCGGATTATGATCATTCTGTTGAAAAATACAATACAATAATGATAGAATAAAAACACAAATTACATTTATAACTTTTTAATGCTCTTAAAATAAAAAATAAAAACAAAGTATTGTCTCTCGATTCATTGCAAATCGATATTGTATGATAATTCGCGAATGTTCAGTTACCTAAGTCTGACGTATCTTATAATAGTGATATGAGTAGTATATAAGTCAACTACATATATATGACTAAAACTTTTTTAATAAAGCGTAAAAATATATAAGTCTATATCATCTCTCATAAATGGTATCGTTTTTCTCGTATTTCATTAAAATCATATATACATATATCGGTACGTAATTAAAAATTTTTATGATTTATACGTCGAAACTTTTAATTAAATATATACAAAGATATCAATATAATCAATTGTATGTTAAAATACATCTACAAATTATTTTACGTTATGTAATTTTGTAGAAATTTAGACAAAATTTACAACTATTTTCTATTTTTTATCCAAATTTTTAAAATAGACAAATTTAAACTATTACTTTTGCGTTTCATGGATTAATCATATTACATCCATCTAGTATATCTGTAAGCATTTATACCATAAATTCTCTTAGTTACAATTCTGTACTATTTCCGATGAACAATCGCTTATTGCAAAGATAAAGTTTTCTAATAGGTGACTACATTTACAGAATTTGAATAAGAAATTTTTATTTATCGATTCAAATATTAGAAATCTTGAGAGATGAATTTTTCAAAGAATATATAATATTATTCTTATATAGAAAAATTTATCTTATATAGCTTGATGTTTTAGATCTAGAATGAATCCTTGTTTATAAAAATCAGTCAACTATTTAGATCAAAAGAATTTATGGTATAAACTCTTGGAAATGTATTAGGTGATGAACCCTATTAAAAAGAATAAGAGGATTACAACAAAAGACTCTTTTGCTTGGAAAAAGAAAAATATGACGTACTTGCAAAAGTAGGGCAGCCGCATTACAATCATCCTTCTTAGCAGCGATGTGGAGGGCAGGTAATCGAACTTTACCGCGAGTATCATTTTCCAATAGAACGGCTACTACTTTATCATGACCCTGTTGCATGGCCACCGCCAATGGAGTGAATCCGTCCTACGATGAGAAATAAATTTATAGGAATTTAAAAAATTCACTGCCTTTAAGGAAAATTACAACAGTTAATTATACACGTGCACACACACACACCAATTAATATTTAATTAATATAATATATGAAATCGTTCCTTCTACCATTTACCAAAGCAAATATTAATTCGCGTATTTATAGTTAAAATATACAGAACGTACCTCTGTAGTGAGGGTTTGGTTGGCACCCTTACTGAGGAGGTACTTGACCACAGAGTCGTGATTCTCCTGAGCAGCCATATAGAGCGGTGTGAACCCATTTTGTGACTGTGCGTTCACAGAAGCACCTTGTTGGACGAGCAATTGTACAACCTCCTCTTGTCCAGCTGCAACAAGATATTAGTTTCATAGTAAGAAGTGGTTAGATATCATATAGAGGTCTATACTTCTTTTCAAGTACATCTATTATGATGCGGCGAGGAAAAGTATAGTTAAATAAAAAATACGTATATACAAAACTCTTCGATAAGTATCTCAATCTCATTGAAATATCATATTTTTGAGTATATAAATGTCATTTTTTTTTCTACGTCCGTGTCGAACATAGCAATGTATTTCTATTATTGCTTAGAAGCTCGATACTGCGTTATAGTATCGAGGTATGGAGAGATATGGGTTAATCGATATGATCTGAGAGTACGTTTATATGTGTATTTGTATACGTATTTACACATCACACAAACGCACATATGGAGTTCGCTTACCAAGAGAAGCAATGTGCAATGCGGTGTTTCCCTTTTTAGTAGCAGCATCGACTACTGCGCCACGACTAAGAAGTTCTCGTACAATTTCCAAGTGGCCATCCTTAGCTGCCAGGTGCAAAGCATTCAGTCCATTCTGTGTACAGACAGATTGCTTTTTTTTTTAGAATCCGAATAAGTAAAATATTTGTTATACGTATATAGCCCATACATAGTCACATAAGTATCTCGATCATGCGACTACGGTAAATTCAAGTGATACAGCATGTTAGTAAATCAGATCTTTTAACCTAATTAATGATAAACTTACAGCATTTGATGCATTTATGTCCACGCCCGATTCAAGATACTCCAAAACCTTCTCGAGCTGACCCGCGCGAGCTGCTCTCAAAAATGACGTGCTTGGATCACTCTAAAAATAAATAAATAAAAGAAACAAATGTAATCGATTAATGTATTCTCTCTTACGTCATTAAATTTAATGAGATTTTTTTCTATTACACGATACATCAGACATTACATAATTTTCACTAATTTCATTCTAACTAGGTTAATGCACTCGTGTGAACATTCCTAATAGAAATCATCAAGGGACCTTACGTAACTTTTTAATCCTTATAATCTCTCCAAATCATGTTTCGTACATATGTATCTACGTGCCTTTAATTTTAATGATTTTCCTTCTTGATATCCTTCGATTGTTAACCGAATAAAGACAAAAGAAAGTATTCTATATGAATAATAATCAATCAGAATCTTCAACAAGTTTACATTGTCCTAATTACCGCTGTATTACGCATTAAGAGATGAATATAGATATGCATGCATATACATATTTAGTTATATTTAATAGATATCTCGAGAGTTTGTCTATGCTATCTGTTCGATCTATGAACATAAACACTTGTGCATACATTCAATTAAAATCTCATACTTTCTAACGTGCCATTTCTTTTTTATTGAATTTTATTTTTATTTCTCGATAAATTCTCAACATCTGTCTTAAAATTATATACTCTTTAAATCCTAACAATCATAACAAAGCTTACTCCGCAAACAATGCGTGGAAGATAAGTTTATCGATTTTTTAAATTAAAACTAGTATAAAAAAGAAATGCATACACATTCGTACATGTGCGAACCTATTTATACACACCTATCAACTTTTATAATGCTGTTAAAATAGCTGGCACGATATGCTCCACCATTATTTCTCGATTACAATGCAGGTTGTTAGTCAAATATATATGTATGTAGTTTACTGGAACATACGGCGCCTATCGGTCTACACGAACGAGAGATGCTGATCTCTTTATTTTATTGTCCATTTGATCTATAAATTCTCACCCTTTTTCTTATTTATAACAAAGTAACAATAATATAATATATCAACATCAATATATAAGTAGGTACATTAAAAATATCAAATCATTGTATAAAATTAGATATATTACATAATCTATCCGTTATATTTATAAGAATAAAGTTTCATTTTTTACGATAAAGACACTCTACGTGTCTAAAAGCAAGAAAGCCTCGTGTTTGTGTGCCTCAACTGGTTTATAAGCTACGTTTAGCTTTATAGATGGTATACAAGAATAAACTGACCGAACTACATCTGGATAATAAAGGTAAGTAAAGGAGGAGTCATAGAGAAACGAGACGCTTCGGCGTCACCAACGAATACCCTGTCGTATTACTGGAACGCATCGTATTATCGTTCATGCGTTGCATATATAAGCACCGCGAACGATAAATCGATAACAGAGTACATTGGACGCGCTTCTTAGGGCAGATAATCCTCTACTGTCGCAGTAATTAACGTATGGTTGTATCGTAAATAATCGTCGCTCTTATTCTTCCTTCAACAGACAGTAATCCATTCAAGAGATTTATTTTTATCTAATTATAGAAAAAAAAAATTAAAAATTAGAGAAAAAATAAAACTAATAAAAAAGTATAATTTTTAAATTTACTAAGAATCTCTTTGTTCGAGGAGATATTAAATACAGTTGGAATTGTTGCAAACGTAAATAAAGCTCAAAGACAAAAGGTACATTCTTTCCATTAACGATTTGTCTTCTCCTCTCTCTCTCTCTCTCTCTCTCTCTCTCTCTCTCTCTCTCTCTCTTTCTCTCTTTCTTTCTCTATCTTCCTATTTTTTTATTTCACTTTTTCTATGTAGCTTTTACGATGGGCTGGTTTTATCTTCCTATCGACAGCACTTTTTAAAAAAATCGATCCTATTTATAGCTTCATGCAACAAAAAAAGATAACCTTCCCTTATAAAGTGATCGCCAACGATAACAAAATAAACTAACAAAAATTTATAGTCTATTAATTTCATACTGAAGAAATATCATTTAATGTGCATGGCTTCAATCACGGTTTTCCTTTCCTACATATAGCAACAAAGTTAACCGTCAATTGAATTAATCATTATAATTAATTAATTAATTAACCTAGAAAGAAAAAAGCTCCAACTACTTTCTTAGATATGTAAAGCTATTATGAAATCGATCCTGAAATATATGCATTAATGGAATTATAATGACTGAAATAGAATTTACGTGACATCATAAAGAAAATTACTTGTTAACTCATATTAGAAATACCTTCTGAACTAACGAATTCCAATGATCATATCTACAACGGTGAAACATTCTTTTATATCCACAATAAGCACCATGAAGAAGTAGCACAAACGAAAGTTGTGTTATGATGTACTAACTATAGATAAAACGAATGTGGTATCGATAACGGTGATACATTTTTTTATCAATGGCAAAACCACGCCACATATATTGTAACATACATTCTATATGTCTAAAAAAAGATTACAAACTTTTGCGGTACCGAAGTAAATGAACTGAAATAAATACGCGAGGCTACTTGGAAATGTATATTACGTTTATATATATATATATATATATATATATATATACATAGGGCCAAGAAATTACTCGATATGTCCTATTATTCGAGCACGAGCTAGATTCGTACGATAGGCTCGAGTAAATAAATAAGAACATATTCTATAAAATTATCAATTTCTTATTCTGCTACGCGTGGAATAGAAAGACAATAAACAGAAAAAGCAAAATAATGTCAAGACTATTCATGTTTTTGAAAGAACAATCTAAGAGTATAGTTGATGAATGTGATATAAAATAGTGCGAATTATTAAGAAAATACTGCGAGATACAAAAAGTAATGCGAGTTAACTTTAGTTATATTCGAAAGTTTCATATTGTTCTCTTTTTTTTTTAGTTTTGTTCTTTTTTTTTTATTATATTACCTAAGTTTGTATTTTAAACACTGAAATAGAACCTTAAAAAAACAATTGTCTGTATTCTTTGCGTCTTTAGTAGTTGTTATACCCAATTAATCTCACATACGTATACATATATGTATGCAATATTCATTATACCTATTACTTTTATACAAAAATTTCTATGTAATAAATACGTAAGAATTTTGTTAAATATATTCAATCTTAAAAATAAAAGAAAATAATTATTTGAAAAATTAACAATTATATAGCAAGAAATACGAGATCATTTGTATTTTCTTTCCATTTAACAAAGTGAAAGATTAGTTTGAATAATCGACTTTACAATTGTATCGTAAACAAGGAATCAGAAGAACAAAATCTACCGTAATTTTCACTACCGTATTTGTCACTGATAAATTTCTTTTAAAGTCCAATGTTAAAGAGAAGATTCTTCATAAAAAAGGAAATTCTTTATAATCGGTATAAAACAGTGATAAAGGAGTCTCTTCTATGTTTCGCGATAGATGACGACCTGCTTTAAATAATTCAGCGACCCCGTTACATCCGACACGTGGATGGTCCCTTGTGTTATACTTCCCCCTTTACCTTTCCCCTTCTCTAGAGCCCCTTCTTCACTTGTGCTTCTTTTTCTTTTTACTCTTTATCCACGAAGCGAAGCTGTATCTCCGGCATGACACGACAACCGTTGAAAAAGAGGAGAGAGACCAATGGAAAACGTCGTCACGATGGTCTCATTACTGTCTCTTTATTATAACAGTCTAGCTTACTCAATGCGATCACATAGCGTGCTTATGCGCGCATTCTATTCTACGTTGATATTATATTCAAGTCTCTCGAAAATCTATAAAAAAAGTTCAAAGAAATTCTTTTTATTTATTTCTTTTTAGTTATTTCTTTCGTGACGAATCTACATGACAATTTCCTCTTGAAAAACGAGTGACAATCGTTACATTTTTGTGTCTGATGATTATGATGATTAGAACATTTCGATTTTTTATTGAAATTCCATCAAATTTTTTCATATCGTCGAATGTCCTTTTATGTATATAAAAATTCTGGAACACGAACTATAAAAACGAAGATACAACGCAAGAACTCATGGCCCGTATAGTCTCTCATAGAATCTCAATGGTATCAAAGACATAAACTCCTGTCGATTGCCTCGGGTGATACCGGACGAGTCTTCGAACCAGCTCGAAGAAACCGTTGTACACCCGATCAACTCTATCAAGTAGTATCATCTTTGCTTATCGCGAATATTTAAAAAATTTTTTGGTACTTGACATTTTCTTATTTTCTCATCATTCATCTTTTTTATTGTCAATTGAAAAAATACGGTAGAAAAAAATAGGGTAGAAACTTAATCAATAGTTCTATTTGATAAAATATTCTACTTGATTACAGTTATTTAAACGAAATATTTGTAATACATGTATGATATAACTTGAGTTATATTCTTATTTTTAAATGCCAAGTACAAAAATGTTTTATCGTAATGCTCTTCGTCGCTTTGGGCTTCCACGTATCGACAAAAAGAACGAAACGGCAACAAGTGTAATACCTATGGGTCTTCCTGCAATTTCTGGCTACGTACCAAGCTAACTATAGCTGCAACGTGCACAAAACTGACTACTATAGCCACAGAATGTGTACGTAGAACCGCTTGGCGTTCCAGTCGCAGAATAAATTCAGAACCCTCGAATAAATATGTTAGAATACATTTTCGCATATTCTTCACGATAGCTCATCGAAATTTTTAATTTTCTGTTACTTACATCATCGACTTCAAACATAATACGATAATCAAATTTTATCTTGAGAAGATCAAATCTTTCTAAAATATTTTCTTTCAATTCCTTGATCGATAACCGATATCGTTAAATGCATTATCCTAAAATAGTAGAAAATTAATTGATCTTTACCAATTATTTCGATTTTCAACAGGTGATCAACGATAGATCGACCAACAGAAAGAAAGGCATATAATCCAAAGTAATAGAATAGACGAGAACAATTAATGTGACAATGAAGGAACGAGGTCGAGTTCGTTGACTTCGTGAAGATGCAGTAAAACGATGATAGAGGAAGGATAATAAAAGTAGAAGAAAAACGAAAGAGCAAAGAAGAAAGGACGAGAAAAAGAGAAAAAGAGAGCGCGGACTAACATCGGCTTCGAAGCGTGACCGTACGAACAACCGTATGCTTGAGAGCAACGTTGAAGAACGTACTTTGAAAAGTGTTAAATCTTTAAAAAAAAAAAAAAAAGAACAAAAATAAGAATAAAATTCCTACGAAAGTTAATTCGTTTTGAATTCGGGGAGATAATATAGGTAATTAACTAATAATAATTTCAAGATAACAATCAAACAATGATGGAATTCGAAATACACAGAGCAAACCGGAAAGTAACGAAGATTTATATACGTAGGCGTGTTCATTTTTCAGTGTGGGTAGACACCATCTTCCAATATATGTATACGCATAAACATGCGCGCATCACAAGCGTAGGAGTAAGCGTAAGCTTCACACGCGTAGGATCGTCGAAAGAGCCTTGACCGTTTCCAAATGCCTCCAGGAGCGGAGCTGCTACTACCTGCCCAGACTAAGAGCTATATCGTGACGTTAATATCAAGTCTTTTCTTGGCAAGATGTGATTAATGTTAATTTTCATCGAACAGGGACTAGGCCATGGCCAAGAAGAGGTAATCTCCGTTTTTTTACAAGTTAGCGAGATCCACAAGTACAAGCAAGAGAGATCGTACTATGAGCAAACATTTTAAATTTAAGAGTGACCGGAAGACCCTGACCTCGTTTCGTATTATTATTATCGTTATCGTTTTTGTTATTATTACGCGTTTTATCCGAATCACATGAAACGATACCTACTCGCGAATCGAACATCTTACAATAGAATTATATAAATAGATACAAAAAAGATAAAAAATCTCTCGTAGCACGGCAAGTACAGCTAAATTTAGAAATAAAAATATTAGGCTCAATCCTCTCTCCCTAGTTGAGTTTCGAAGATAATAGTTAAAAATAACATCGAAACTCAACGCTCACAATACGTCACATTCCAGGTATGTGTACATACAAGTACAAGTAGCACTATCTGCACAATCGTTCCTTCTTACAACCCTGAAATCAAAGAAGCATCGACCGTACCTCCGCTCTCCTTACTTTTAATTAAATCTATTTCGCTCTGGGAATCCTTTCGACTGAGAGTTCCCGCGAATCCTGTAGGAAAAAAAATACTTCCCACGAACGTGCCTTCTCGAACCGATTACATTCTGATAATCGTTCGTTAATTCCTAACAATCAACGAAGAGAGATGCGCGCGATTATCCTGTCAACAATAGCCTACAAGATTTGTGTATATGGTGTTCGATTAATAAAATCAGGATAGGATTCAATCATTAGCAACGACCATGGAGACTCCAATGCCGAAATACATACATTTTCTTCGTAACGTTTAAAGAAATAAAGGAATATTAAAAAAAAGCAACGAATCGTTTCTTAAAATTATTCATCGTTCGAGGAAAGAACTGTAATTAAAATAACAAAGATCGTCTTTTCTAGGTGGAAAATCAAATAAAAGCGACCGATCTATCTTCTCTCTGATGTTATTGAAATTCTTTCTTCCCCCCTGGTTTCTACATTATTTCTCTTCCTCTCTCTTTCTGTCTATCTATTTATCTATATATATATATATATATATATATATATATATATATATATATATATATATATATATATATACGTCTATCTATCTCTTTATCTCACCCGTCTGTCTATGATTATTCCAACTTAACTATGCACTATTCAATATTACATAATCAAAATAAATTACGAACGACGAATGACATCACGTCCCGCGTTATAAGTGTGAGGTCATCAGGTGCTGACTGGATCGAGAGTACAGGTTTTTACGGCCATCTTGTTTGGCCTCGCTCGTCGAGGGTGACGGCATAACCGTATATGCGTTCTCACTCTTATTTCACGCACACATAGGTAGTTCGAGGTTGGCAGAAAAAGTCGATTGCCGACGTCACGGTTTTCAACGTCGATAAAAAAGACTTTATTTTGTGATCGTCCATTCCCAACTCTAACAAAATTCTTCGAGATAACATCCCATTTCACGATATACTGCCAGTTCGGCTCGCCTTCTTTTTTCTTTTCTTTCGTACTCGCATCGTAAATTTAAAAAATTATGTTTTATTAATAGATAGACACGATCACTATCGGAACTGCGCAATTATTTGATGAATTTACAAGAAAAATAAAAGTTTCAAGAATTTTTAGTCTCTGTTTTTCTAAATTCCAATATATACTTAAACTATTCCTCTCTCTCTCTTTCTCTCTCTCTCTAGAAGGGAACTATTATAGACACAATCATTGATTGGTAGCCAATAGATCGACATTATATTTCATGCTATCTAATGAAAGTACATCCATTCAATGTTTCCTTCTTCTTTCATTGAGCCATTCATAGATATGGATGATACAGTAATGAATGACACGATTGAATTACTTACGATCGCCAGTTAAAAATCGACCGGATGTTGTACCGCATCATCCTCGAGATCGTTTATTTTTATTAAGAGAAGAGTTACGTGAATACATCAGTGACAATGTCTTTTTCCATCGCTTTTGATCTTCCTTATTAATCTTAATAAACAAAAAATTGCAATATCGATAATAGCTTTTTGATCAATTTTCTTATTGAATTAAGAAGTTCAAGGTAATAATGAAAATTAGGATCCTAGTCGACAAATTATATATCCGATCATCCTCTAGCGTTTTAATTTTCAGAAATGATCGCATGCAGCGAGCAGCCAGACGTGATTCACACTTATAATACGGCAGAATATCGTATACTTAGGATTTCGCCTGACTTCGTCGCCAAAATTCATCGAGATTTAAATATTTTACGAACATAATACGGGACATGCCAAAAATATTCAGACGATATCGCGAAACTTTACCTCGTCTCTGACTACTAAAGAGGTATAGTCAATTTATACTCGATGGTTCGAGACTTTAACAAACGATGTTTCAGATGCCAGTGTCAAACGGTTGAACTTTGAACCACTTGCTTCGGTACATCACGTTCAAAGTCAATGTCTAATTGTATCGTTCAAGATGAAAACTGTTACATCCTGCTTTAGAAACGCTCTATTGCAACGATCAAATAAGAGACAAATCTGCTATTATCATCGATCAGTAAATGGAGAATATTCAAGATCAAGCTAAAATAAGAGATGACATCCATGTCAATGGGAATAAAAATTGAATCTAATCCAATTACGCGTTTTTCCTTTTAAAAAAATATAAAAATCTTTTATTCTTCTGAAATGTAATTTAATAAAAAAAGGAATAGAATTGTCGATCGATGATATAAAAAACATGGTAATTCGTTCTCTTCGAAATGTCTTTTTAAATTGACTTTGAATAGTTAATGAATTGTGAAACTAGGATATTCTTCGCTTTTCGATAGATTGCAAACGTTGTTGACACGTCCTTTCTATTGAGTCTTAATTAAATGTACGAGTAAGAGATGCTGAAGGAAACAAGAGTAGGAGAGTTGCGTCTATTACCGAGGGGCCCGATGAAGAGCAGAGTTGAAAGGGTCGAGGTCGCGATTGTCACGAATGCAAGCGAAAGAGAGAGAGAGAGAGAGAGAGAGAGAGAGAGAGAGAGAGAGAAAGTATTTTCGTTCGTCACAAGAAGTTATCTCGTTGAAATGTTATGTAATTTTTCTAGAATCCAAAGAACGAAATTAAGAACGAGCTTCATCAAGAAAAAAGAGAGAGAGAGAGAGACGCAGAAGAAAATGATTAAGCAATACCTCCGTTCTTATTCAATCGTCTCGTGTAAGAATTCATCTTTCAAGGAAAACAAAGAAAACCATCGTTCTACATATTTTATAAATTTCCAGGAATGTAACTAAATTATTGACAGAAGTAAATTCATGTTTATCATCAAGCATTCATGTATAAGAAGTTCACTAATAAATTAAATAACAAATTTATAAAAACGTTGACCTTGCTGAGTTGAAGTAAATTAAGTAAAGTAACATAAGCACGTTTTTCATATATTCTCTGCGTACGTTTTTTTCTCATATATCATACATGATGTTTTTAATTAACATAATCACATGTCTGTAACATTAATATTAAAAAATACAACCTTTAAGGTGTAACCATGTATAACGAAAATGACAGTTTTCAATCCATTATCATGTAGTTGCTATGCGTGAAAGAAATGTAGCATTCACGCGAATTACTACCTAGAATTAAATGTACAGATCACGCTAACGGAATGATATCTTTGTATATAGAAAACAATACTGTGAATGACAGAGAAAAAACGTGAGAAAAAATAATTCGAGCACGTAAAAAGAGAACATCTTGAAAAGTGTCATTATTGACATTCACTGTACTTACATTTTTTTCTTCCTCCTCGTGTATAATTAAAAACAATAAAAATACTTTCAAAGATTATATAACGATTAATTTTCTTTACCGTCTTTTACGTGAGAATACTTTCGAGAAAAATTTACATAGATAAATTCGTATTTAGTTAAGTAAATATTAAAGCGAACAATCGAAAGTATATTAAAAGTAGATATTTGTAAAGGACGTTAAAATAAATAAGAGGAGAAGGTAAAAATTACGGAAACAGAGCAGAACAGATCAAGGTAGAGCACGACTTTAGATATATAGATAGATAAAATAATAGGTACGTGCACATGTACCTACATACATACATAGCTATATGTAGGACAAGCAAGATGGAGTCTCAAACTTTGGGTCGATACGAACGCGGCAGCGCTATTGCAGCTAACCGCCCCCTCGTTCCTCCACAGACATCATTCTGTTTCTCGTTTTATCATATTTCTTAACTTCCTTTTTAAATTCGCAACCCCATTCCTTTTTAATGTCGATTTGTGACAACTTACTCGCTATCCAAACGGGTAAAGATTTGCATTCGATGCGACAACAGGTAATTTGTTATTTAAATTAAAATCGCTTTTAACGTCCGGACTGTTCTTATTGATAGAATAAGCAATCGTATAATGTTCCTTTTTTTTGTTTTTACTTTAAAGATATCACGATTTCTTCATACACAGATATTCTTCTGTCTAATAAATTAATTCTTTGGATATGTTCATATATTCAAAAGTTTTGTCAGAAATATTCATTACTCATCTTCGAGCATACGATTGCGTCAGACGAGCACATTTAAATCAAAAGGTCAGAGAATTGTACGCACGTATTAAATATCACGGATATATCCTTAATTTATCCGCGTGTATCTTAAAAAACTGCTTTCAATAAAATGATACTACCGATGCTACCGACATAATAGTACATACAAGAGCGCATTTTTCGAACGACAAAACTCTCTTTTTTCGTTCGACGATCTCTCTTTTTATCGTTAAATATATATATGAGCTGACAAGTGTAATATTTTGACGATAATTACATGAGATTTTAACTCGTTTTAATTATATGTATGTGTATGTATGTATATATATATATATATACACAAAGTGAAATTACCAAAGACTCCTTTTGATAAGATAGAGAAAAATAAAGAAGAAGAAAGACATCAATTCTAGATACGATTGAAGATAAGTGAATTCGAAGAAAAATATCTCTCTTATGTCGGTACAACATATACAAGAATAAAAGTATGTACGTGAAGCTTTGGAATGTGGGAGCCACTTCGAAGGACCAATTTAATCCTCGACGCAGAGTAGTCCTCTGTGTTCTTCTAAATTAAACGACATTGGGGTGCTATGAACCTCAGTTTAACTGTTAAAGACTCAAGAAGGGGAGTTGCCAGTCGGGTTAGCAGGTCGAAAGGACTGTAACGGGCAAAGAGAGGAGAGATATTGACAATGCTAAAGGGGGTCGAACCCTCATGTCAGTTATACGTTCGCGAGCGTAAGTCTATATATCGAGATGCATATGTATAAAGGGAAGTACGCGGTTGCACTATAAAGCTGAAATATCGGTTTCCGTTGTTCAAGTGGTGCCGATGATTGATTGAAAATTATAAAAATAAAAAAAAGAAACAAATCATTACGTCACAAAGCTGCAAAAATGTTATTCAGAATATATATATATATATAGATATTATTATACTAATATACTTTTTTCTTTTCCTTTCGTTTTTTTATATATTGGGTCATCCAGAATTTACCGATTTTTGGTAGATGACATAATGACAAGTTTAAATATACCAGAATGATTGAAAGCCAATGACATACGTACATATTCCAAAAGGCGGTATTTCAGGCATATTTTGAAAAAATTTTGGTTACGTTAAGTTAACTTTTGTCTGTTTTATACGTCTTTAAATATAAGTGCAAAGGAAGCAAATAAAGTGCATTATAAGCATTTAATGCTTTTCTTCTATCGGAAAGATAAAAATACTACACAAGCAGCAAACAAGATATGTGCTGTTTATGGCAAAGGTGCTGTAGCTGAAAGAACTGTGCGGAAATGGTTTACTAGGTTTAAAGCTGATGATTTCAACCTTGAAGATCAAGAATGACTGGGTAGGCCCTCTACGACAGATGAAGATCAAATTAAAATACTGGTTGAGAATAACCCACGCTATACGACACGTAGATTAGCAGAAATATTAAAAATATCAAAATCCACCATCCATAAGCACTATGTGAAGCTTGGCTATATAAACTGTTTAGATGCATGGATTCTCCACAATTTTTCGGAAAAAAATCTGATGGATCGCATTTCTATTCGTGATTCGCTCCATAAACGCAACGAGAAGACACCATTTTTGAAGAAAATAGTGATGGGTGATAAAAAATGGCCATTTATAATAATATTGAGCAGAAAAGGTCTTGGCGAAAGTGGAATGAACTAAGAAAGTCATGCTCTGTGTCTGGAGGGATTGAAAAGGAATCCTAAGGAATCCTAATTATAAGCTTTTACCAAACAACGAGACGATAAATTCAGAAAAATATTGCTCCCAATTAGACAAATTAAAGACAGCAATTGAACAAAAACATCCAGAAATAGTGAATCGGAAAGACATCGTGTTTCATCAGGACAATGCGCGGTCCCATGTGTATTTGACGACTCGACAAAAGTTGTTGGAGCTGGATTAGGATGTTTTACTTCATCCACCATATTCACCAGATTTCGCGCCCTCAGATTTCCACATATTTTGATCATTACAAAATTCTCTTAATGGAAGAAACATCAATTCTTTGGTCGAGATAAAAAATCATATAGAAAAATTTTTCGCCGAACCTGGAAAGACGGAACCTGAAAACCTGAAAGGACGGAATTTTCAAGTTGCCTGAAATATAAAGAAAGTTTCTAGAAGAGAATGGCACCTATTATAATTTAATAAATGTATATCAAAATTTAAATAAAAAATTGCAATTTTCCTTCAAAATTAGCACGAACTTTCCGGACAACCCAATATCTATATTATATATTAAAACAAGAAAATATATTTTCTTGTTTTAATATATAATAAAGAAAAGATTAAAAAGAACAAAATGAAATCAATATGAGACCGTCATGCATTATCACGATACTATCTCCAAATTCACAAGGTCGCAAGACTGTGAGATAATAATAAATTATATCTCAATCCATCCTAGTTACGCTCGATGAACAGGGTCAATCGTATACAAAGCTTTTAACGGCAGAGCATTTTATCGAACTTTATTGGGTCAATCACATTTCCTATATCGTCGACCGTGCGTAAGATCTATCAAAAACAGTTCTCCAAATTTCATGTAAAAGTTACGTAGATCATTCTTGTTACTCGGTGGAAATAAATATTCTATATCTATTGGATTGTCCGGAAAGTTCGTGCCGATTTTGTCCTTATGTCACCTATCAAAAATCGGCACGAACTTTCCGGACAATCAAATATGTACATAGAATACGTTTTCATGTACATAAAAAGGCATGAAAATAGAAAATAGTACTATTTTATTTATGACCGAACAAAATTTTTATGAAATTTGTTACTGAAGTGAAATTTTCTGAGAAGAAAGAGTAGTTCTTTTTGACAATTACTTCGAAGAAAAAAGTTCACTCATTAACGGCGAAAAGCTCAGTTATTCATCGTGTACAGTCGTGTTGTATGCTTTTCCTCTTTGCCGATGGTACCATTACCGAACGAACGCGTGCAGACGTGGTATATATTTATTTTCAGTCTCCACTTTTACGTCGACACGAAAGGGGATGGTTATCTATATCCACATAGATACAAATATATATACATACATACATACATTCATAAATACATTATATAAATATACATACGTATATTAATAGATATATACATATACATACAAGTTATGTGAAATGCGATGTGACGTGCGCGCGTGCGTGCTTTTCTCTCTCTCTCTCTCTCTCTCTCTCTCTCTCTCTCTTTTTCTCTCTTGCATGCAATTTCACAACCTAGTTCCGTCCGGTTGATAATGAACGAATAGAAAATAGTCAAGCCGATATCTGGTGATCATGTGCGTGTGCGTAAAGCGTGCAACGAGCGCGACTCCTTCGTCCGATTATTACCAAACAAATTTCAATGAGTAAACTTCCGGAAGCAAGTGCGGTCGCCCTTACAACATAATCGTGAAATCTGCCGTAAGGTAATAAATTTAAAAGGAGATCCCTCTCTCTCTTTCTCTCTCTCCATTTGCCCGAAGATAATTTCAAAAAATAATACGTTTTAATATAATATTTGAATTACAATTCGATGGAATATGAAAATAATCTCTGTTTCATTTCAATTCGCTTTTATTTCCCTTGGAAGTTCTTCGTGAGAATTTCAGAATGAATTTCTAAAAGAAAGAAAAAAACATTCCAGAGGTATCTCATCGTGAATATAATAAGGCAGCTGTTACGAAGCACAACGTCTGATTAAGAACGACGGCACGTAACACGCGAGTCAGCAGCACTTATCATCAAGAGTGTACTTTCATCGCCTTCTATGAACTGACGTGTCACACGGTGGGCAGAACATAATCACGACCTAAAAACGAATTAGGACGAAATTGCGTTAATTCGCCTTCTTCTGAATGTCACGAAAATTGATGATCATTCTTTTGCCTTTCCGTTCTTCTCTTTCGATTTGGGGTCATCTATATTTGTTATCTCCGTTACTTTGGAAGATTTTAATGTTCTTTATTATTTTTATTTAAGACCCTGTACAATTTCAATTGTCACAGTGATATCATATCCGCGACATACGCTTAAAACTTGGTTCTAATGATCAATCGACGTAATACCTATTTTATCCTTGAAAAAAATATCAAGGTCGAAGGATACTCTTTCGAGAGTTTATTGTAATGACTTTATTATAAACAAGAAGGAACATATAAAAATGTTGTACCTATGTTGCAACTTATTCTTCGAAATAGTATTTTATTTATGATCTCGAGAATTTTTAAACAATGAACAATAAGGATAGTCAAAAGAGGGAACGAGTGGTACAAGCGGCCCTTCAGCCCTTTTTTGCCACTACACAATATGCCAACGTAACATATGGTTTATATGACTCTTGAAAGCTCACCGATTTTATTTGCTCCTATACTATAGGGATAAGAAAAGAAAGCTAACCCAAGCATAAAATAATTTTGAATAGAGCCATGTCTAATTTTAGGTATGAGAAACTATTAAGCTAACGGTTATTCGTTTAGAAAGCAAATTTTATTTTCTATATAACTAAAATATTATTTTAATTCCGTAATATACGAAACATTTTCAATTATTTTATAATCAATAAATCAATACGAATTTTCTTAAAAGAAATTCTAATATAAGTCACCTTGTGAAAGAATAATATTGCGCACTTGATAGATTAATTAAGCGGATTAATTTTCATGATCTGAAAATTCTTGGTAGATTTACGTAGAAATGCGATTGGATCCGTGATGTATGATCATTCATGAGTCTATAATAAGACGTAAATACAAAGTAGATAAACGATGCCGCATAAGTTACACAATAATAAATTGCAAGTGGTGGGACTATACGAGTAAATAAAATCCTCCGCGTACAATACTTTCAACATATGTACAATTTGTTTATTTTTCTAAGAAATTTAATAATGTCTCACCTTTATTCAAACAAAAATTGCAATCGTCAGATATTTTTCGAATTTAGGTTAATCATTTTTGATTGCTGGCGTTTCGATTTTGTATTACAGTAATCATTGAAATATATAATTAATCGTTCAAATCGAAATAAACATGCGTATGTTCCATGCTTACTATTATAGTAATAGTCTGCAGCCCACGGTAACCGTGACCTTTTGCGAAGCAACAACAGTCTATTCGTCTGAATGGTCGCTTTACATGCCATTGCGCAAAGTAACGATCTACAGTACGTAAGAGAAGATAAAAAAAATGATCGGACGTTTCTCTCGCCTGGATTCGTGCTCGAAAATAAAGAAAGAAAAGAAAAGAGCTCTGCCTCACATATATTAAAAAGAACAAGAAATAAAGAAGATTTATTTACAAAACAAAATAGTAAAAATATAATAATAAATGACGTCATAGAGATAACTATATAAATCCTTTATCTCTTCATCGTATTCCAACTTTTAAAGTTTATACAGTAAAGATAAATAATTATTTGCATCTTCTTACCTGTTTTCCAGCGCGCGGCAATGTCTCAACGTTAGTACCACCGACGACCGGCGCCTTCTCCGTTCCGCCATTTTGGTGAACGACGTTCGTGTTTGCATTAATATTGACATTGACATTCGTATTGATGTTAGCATTAACATTATTCACATTGTCAGTCGCGTTAACGTTCGTATTCCCACCGGCGCCACCGCCACCCTTTCCCTCCTCCCCCGTCATTTCTTCGAGCTCGTCCACGAGCTATCTCTTCTGTTCTTTCTTCCTCTTTTTCTATTTTCTTTTTCTCTCTTTCTCTTTTTCTCTCTCGCACTTTGTCGTCTTCGTCTTCGTTTTCGTCCTTTTCGTCCTTTTCGTCAGTCCCTTTTCGTATCGTGAAGAATTAATTTCTTCTATCTCTCTCCACTATTCAAAATCCGGATATTTTCTACGAATGAAGATATACACTATAAACGATGAGAAAATTGCCTAAGTGTCTTCACGTTCTTTGGAAGGACCTTCCGGCCTCTTTTTCCTACCTCAGCATCTCTCTGTTCCAAATACGCGTAGATTCGTGCGGACGAAAGAAAATAAATATTCAATTTTCGTTCCTCATAAGTCTAAAAAAATATATTGACGTCATTCGTTCTTATCACAAGGAGGACGAAATCGAAAAAAGAACGTAAACTATTTTACCGAGGAAACACCGTCATTTTCCAAATCTCATATATAGCTACGTGCGCTTGCAACGGCGGAAATGGGAACTACTCCATATTATCTTTTCGCAAGGCGCTCGTACAAACGAACTAACGAAAAAACGAACGAACAATCAATCGAAGTAGACGAAAGAATCTTCTCAATAATAAATTTTCAAGGAACTATAAAAGGCGTGTATATCTTTAAGAGAGAGCTCCCATCCAAATTACTTTCGTTGTTCTTCCGGGGGCTCTATTTTTAGGTAGCCAGATACGCGATACGGTCGACATAACGGTATACGACCAAGTGTTGCAGTCGGAGAACGTTCACGAGTCACTAACATAGTACATTCTCTATATTTCGCGGTCGATACTTAAGCATTTATAAAATAACAACGACAACAACAACTAAATTTTGATTTATATTTCCGTTGTTTTTCAAAGGACTTCTTATTCATCATCGTTTCTATCACATGAAACAAATCTAACGTATATGCCTACGTACGAATAAGGGAACATTCAAAATGAATCTTACGCTAGAATGCTTCCTCTCTCTCTCTTTCTCTCTCTTCCTCCTTCATCCTCCCTTTCTCTTTCTCTCTCTATCTTGTGACAAGGCGAAGTAAAAAAGAAAGAAAAGAAAAGAAATAGAAAGAAAGAGAAGAGAGAGAAGAGAAAGAGAGAGAAAGAGAGAAAAAAAGAGAAAGAGAGAGAGAGAGAAAGAGAGAAAAAAAGAGAAAGAGAGAGAGAGAGAAAAAAAAGAATGAGCAAGCTTGTCGCGAGCTAAGGGAAACCGTTCGGTGCGTGTTCCGTGCAGTCAGTGTAGTAGAAGCACGGAAAATCGATTCGAGCGTGTCCGTTCGAATACTGCGCGCCTCTTCAGAGCACATACGACATAACTGAAAAATGAGACCGATAAAATCGCTTGATACATACAAACCGATCATATTTTTTCTTTCTCTCTCTCTTTTTCTCTCGCTTTGTGTCTTTCAAATATCGTATAGAAAAAAATTCCTTATAGATTTTCGTTCAATTTCGCGTATCTTATTTATTCCCTATCCAAAATAATATGACTCAACGAGAGAAAGAAACCTTTTAAATAAACGTTTAGGAAGAATATCCTGTTTACTGGATAACAGACTAGGGAAAAAGATCTTCCTCTAATGTTACGGAGGGTGACAAACGACTTAACATGCTTCTTCCGACCAAAAGAGGTCCAAGTATGACGTGGCACGTGGAATTCGCACGTCCGTGGACACTGAAGCACCCGATATTAAAGGACGGAAGGGTGGTAAAATTTTTTAGAGACGGCAATTAGTACGCGCTCACGCCGTAAATCGTTCGCCTTTGATGCTACGCCCTGGAGCGATGGACCGACGACGGCTTCGCTGTCGCATTTGCTCGACCCTCCCGCTACTACGGCTCCCAACCCTTTTCCCTCCCTGTTCTAGTCTTTCTCTTCCCTCAACAGAACATGACACATAAAGAGAACAAGGCGCACCCCTTTACCGTCTTTCTGTCTCTCTCTCTCTCTCTCTTTCTGTCTCTCTCGTTTGCTCTCTAAATGCACGTCGAATCCATTTTCACCGTTAAACGCATCCGATTTTACGTTAGACGTATCCGATAATAAAGTTACCGTTCCAGATGTATGTGGAAAGATTCAAATACAGACGTAATAAATTTCTCACGACTTTCTTTGCTAGACATTCGTAAAAGTGCGTACCAGGAAATTAATCGCGAATCTCATCTAAATAAATTTCTCTTTGAATTTATGAGAAATAACGTATTTCATTCGTATATCCTTTTTGATGATATTCCAACTGGATGTAAAATTAGTTGTAGAAAAAAAAAAAACATAAAACTCGTGGTAAAGGTATCAGTTGAAAAAACTAAACTGAATTCATCGAGCAGTAAGTTCTTTTGAGGATTCTATTGACATTACCGGTTATATGATGAACACTAGAGGAAACTGACTCCATAATTACTATTAATTAGATGAATTTTATATCTCGAAGAGTACTTTTATACTTGTTTTTTATCTTAGAATAATAAACCTTAGATACGATTTTCAAATGTCACTTAATGCTTTTAGTCGACCAATATATTCTTCGATTCTTTGCGTGATCGTTAAAACGATAACATTAAGATCGATTCGAGCACGAAGCTGAATTCGCGAATAATCCTACAGAAGAACTACGAATACTTTTTATCGTCATGAAAAATAAAATTTTAAAAATTATGTAGAACGAAAAAGTCGGTGTCCTATAATTCAAGCTCTTAACCGAGTCACCTGTAATATATATGTATATATATCGACTATATCGGCTTTCTTCGGTGACCAATACCGCCTGTACGAGTTCATACCGCGCTCGTCGATCAATGTCTTGAATGCTGTTTTCGACGATGCTTCTTCCGTTTTTCGACGACAATCAAAAATTGTTTTGGAATAAAGCTCTTTTGTTCTTCGTTTCGATAGTTTACGATTAAAAATATTTCGTTGTTATCGTAAATCTGACACGAGTAGAGAGATGCAAGGTGTTCGAACGAGAATACTTGTTTAGAACTGGGATCTTGAGTTACGAACCACAAAATATCGAGGCACTTTTCCCATTCAAGTGTTCCTGCACTGTCAAATCACACGACGCGCCATTATTCTATACAATGAATAAGGTTTCTCTTGTGATGCGCGTTGAAATCCAGGACCCGTACGTATCGAGAAATTTTTATATTAACCGTGGGGGAAGAAAGGTTCTCTCTCTCTCTCTCTTTCTTTCTCTCTCTCTCTTTCTTTCTCTCTCTCTCTCTTTCTTTCTTTCTTTATGATTGTAACACGACCGCCCTCCTGGAAACTCCGTACGCTTTTGATCGGCTTCGTAATTGTGCAACTGTGGACCGCGCTTGAACTGACCTCTGCTAGATACTCCATACATCACGTGTTTTGAGAAATGCTTACTGAAGATGCTCCAATGATATAAATTCATCCGTACGCCGTTAAGAGTCGCTACTTTCTCTTAAGAAACGATAAAGCGCGAAATCTATAACTTGTTTTATTATTTCAAAATAAACGGAAGCGATATTTAGTTTCATAAGTTATTATTTATAATTTTAATCTCTAATTTGATTTAATCTAAATATAAAATCATTTTTTCATAATATTCATTTTCATATTTTAGAATATTATATATGTATATACATATATATATATATATGCAATTTGTGTAAGCAAAAGTGATGTAGCGTATACACACGTTACTTAATATTCTAATAAAGATTGACATAACTTAGTTCATATGTATAAATTATATAGAATAGAAAAATATTTATATATCAATGATACTTGATTATTATAAATATAACATGTTATAATAAATCAAATTAAGTAAAATATTAAAATCGATTTGTAATATAAAAAGTTAACCTCAATGTGTCTATCTTCAAACTTATACGATTTGTAGCGATTTGTAAGTATATTAAATGTACGGTGATTAAATACAATAAATATCATTGACATTAAAAAATTATAAATAAAAGTGTAGAATTGATTTTTCGGCTGTTACATTTCTAACAAATTGTTTCGTGAAATAAATGTACATATATATTGATTAATGATATAAAATATTTTTTTGCCGTAAAACGCAGATTCAAAAATGGCTAGAATGCTAAAATTTCTTCAGACAATAAGAAATAATTGGAAAAAATCGACATTTGGTGCTGTTGCTTTATCATATGGAGTCTCATACAGTAAAGAGTCATATGAGTATGATATTTTGATAATTATAAGTGATTAAAACAATTAAATAATATTTTATAAAATTAATACATTTTTATAAATTAATATTTAATGGTCTTTTTTAGCACCCAACAATTGATGAGACAATATTGTGAAGATATAGTAAAATATGGAGATGAACCTTGTCCTACAACCATGAAACCTCGTCATGTTACAGTTATATTAAATCCTGCTGCTAAAAACAGGTTTAAGTTCAAAGTGTATAGTTATTACTCCATGTTCTACAAAATAATTCCTAACATATTAATTTATTAATTTTCAGAAAGGCGAAAAAATTATTTAAAGATTACTGCGAGCCATTATTACATTTAGCTGGAATTGCAGTAACAATTGTGCAAACGGAATCAACAAGTCATACGCGTAGTGTAGTGGAGAATTTAGATACTCCAACTGATGCTATAATTGTAGCAGGAGGAGATGGTACTTTATCTGACGTTATAACTGGTATAATGAGAAGATATAAACACAATCTTCATTCTGTCAAACAATGTCCAATTGGTGTTTTACCATTAGGAGAAACAAATACTGTTTCTTGTGCTTTAAATCCTTGGCGCTTTGATGATTTACTTGAAGTACGTGAGATGACAGAGGCTACAATGACTATTATAAAAGGCAATCATAAGTTTATAGATATTATTGAAGTTTATTCACTTAAAGTAAGTTCTATGGATAATAAGAATTTATTACTAAATTTCATACAATTTATTTATTTTTATCATGAAATTTAAGGAAAATCCTGAAAATGAATTAAAACCAGTTTATGCAGCTGGAACAATAGAATGGGGTGCTTGGCAAGATGCATATATACAAAGAAATAAGTATTTGCTTGGAAAAACTTTAAGAAAGTATGAGATGGATTTTATAATAATGTTTTCTTATCATTATTTTCTATTAACTTTAAAATCTTACTATATATTATAGATATGCAACTTACATATTTAATGGTTACAAAGATAATTTAAATTGGAATTGCAATGGATTGTTAAGATATACTAAACCTTGTACAGGTTGCTCACATTGTTATAAAAATTCAAATATTGATCAATCTACACATACAAATAAAAGATGGTGGCATGCATTTGTGCCAAAAAAAGCAACATTTACATCAGGTAAAGATATGTTGATGCAATGCTAAATTTAAAAAAGCTTATTCATACAAAATTCAGCAATATGTGTATATATATTCTGTTTTTATTTATATATCAATAATAAATATCACGATTTCTCTGAGTAAACAATAATATTATATAAGAGAGATTAATTATTGTATTATGATCTTTGGTCCTAAGCATATTGCTTAAATATATTTTTAATTTTGCAGACATGGTAATTGACTACAGCAAAATAACAAATGAAAATTGTGGCGTTTTTTATGAAATTCCTATTTCAACAACTGATTTATATATAAAAACCTCAACTATAGATAACGCCGAACTAAACAACCATTCTTCGTTAAAAATACAATTAGGTAATACAATAACAAAGAAACTATTTAACAAAGTTATTATATAATAATACCTAATATTATTTACATGTGTAGGTCCAAAAGATATAGATTATATATCATTTGTTAATGAAGGTTGGAGGAGAATAAATGGAAGTAGAACCTTAATAAATTCCTCATTTGAAGCAAAGGATATTGAATTGTACCCTGAAAAGGTAAATAATTCTTTTTTTTTTTTTTTTTTCTAAGGAAATTTATTATTTCTAAGTTTACTTTCACAGTACTTTCAATGTATTAAAATCTATTTATAATGTTTTTTTTTACAGAATGATGAACGAGTATTTTATATTGATAACGAAGAATTCGAATTAACGGCAATTAGAATGAAATTACTTCCGCAATGTATAAAAATATTTTGTTCTGATAAGAAAAATATCAATACACTAAATAGATAATACTGCTAATATAAATCATTTTTAAATTTTTTTTTCCCACCTGTTTATAAGGCACATCATATTTCTTCTCTCTCTATAATAAATATTTTATAAAATTATTAATATAAGTAAAAAATAGTTCATTTGTAGCATTAATATCTTTCCATTTGAAATAATCAATTATCAAAACTATTCTTATAGATATTTGTAAAAATAGCAATTACACTAAAAAAGAGTACCTTAAATTAGTTACCTAGACTTTTAATACAAACTTCAAAAGGAATACTGTTTTATAAGGTACAGTATTAAAAACAATACTAAGCGCGCTTAATTTCCTTTCATGTATCCTTGATCATATTTCAAAGATGATGTATCAAACCGTTTGTTACATGATAGTGGATACAAATTGTTACTGTTTAATGTTACACCATGTTATTACTTTCATGATATAGATGGCAAAGAAAGAGTATTTGAGTTTTCTGAACAAATATTTTTATCACAATCCTTATTATTAATTTTAAAGAAATCGAGTAAAGATGGAGCAAGAGATGTAGAAGTTTTGCATCCTTTTAATGGTTCCATTGATTTGGATCTACTACTTCTACGTACAGGTATACTTGTTTTAGGACTAGACAGTTTTTCAGAAGATATTTTAGTTTTCTGCTCTTTATATTTCTCTCGTATTTTTGTTAACCAGTCAACATTTTCCTTGTATTTCTCAGGAGACATTTGAAGTAGATGAGGTGCTGTTCCATCTATTACAAAATTTGGCAGATTTGATGTAGGTGAAAAAGGAATTGATGCATCATTTGTTTCTAAAGCAATATTTTTAAATTCTGGAACATATGAACTTGTGCTTGGTTTATCGTAGTCATAACTCTTATCGCATATAGTAGTTGTGTCAGTCTTTTGACTGAAAAGCCTTCTAGCACCACGATTTTCTATGTGTGCACGTTTTATTATCATTTCTAAATTTTCGTGTATAGGAGATAAAATTGTTTTAAATTTTCCATCAGATTGTGATTCTTCAGTTATCATTTGTGAATAAGTTCTCTTAAAACTATTACTATTACTTTGTTTATACAAATCTCTCGATTGATTATCTATATCGTTAGATCCTGGTGTACTATCTATTAAATAAAACAAAACATTTTATTATCTATACAATATATATTTTATATGTATACTCACTTGGTGTTTTATCAGATCCAGGTGTATGTTCTTGCGTTAATGCATATCGCCGGAAAGTAGTTGGTGTTGTTTCCATTTTCAAGTTTTCTAAGGAGATTGCACTGGAAACAGTTTCTGCTTTACCTCTTATTTCTAATTCTTCATTATCTATTTTATGCTCAAGTCCAATTCTCCATATTCTATGGCACGAATCATCCGAACAAGTCACTATCTATGTAATTATTAAATTGAAATATAATCTTTATATAAAATAAAGGTCTGTTCTCCTATTATTTATTTTAACCACTAGAATACCTTGGTTTCCCCAACAGTGCACCATGCAATGCAAGTAACTTCTTCTGTATGACCAGAAAGTTTAATTATTGGTCCACCAGATCGTTTAGTATGCCAAATGTATGCAAGCTCATCACTAGAACCACTAGCCAGGTATCTTCCATCAGGGCTTAAACAGGTTTTTACATAATAGGTACGATTTTGATGTCCATAAAACTCTGCAACTGTGATATAAATAAAATTACTTAAAATATCCTAAAATATACATTTCACAATGTTACTTTCATATTTTAAATTACCTGGTTTTGGATTATAAGAAGATATATTATACGCATATATGATATTGTCCATACAACTAGCATACAATGTAATTCTAGCTGGACATACTAACAATGAAGAAAATCCGTTTCTTGTACTACTTCCTGCATAATTCATTGTATGTTTAGCCAATGGATCTTTTTTGTGAACAGTATAATTTTTTCTTAAATCCCAGACTTTAATTACCCTATAATTATAAAAAGATATAAATGTAAGATTACCTTCTATTCTTGATACTATTTTTTATTTAGGACTTGATTGTCTCTAAGTTACTTACCCATCCCCAGCAGCACATGATAATAATGAAAAATCATCTTGAAAAGCAAGACTGGTTATACTTTGCGTACAAGACGTATGATTGAGAGTTTTACGGTGTCTATTATTATTTGAAGATATGCTACTATGTGCATTAGATATACAATTATCTGCTTTAGGCTGATCACTATGATTTGCTCTTATATCCCAAATCATTATACTTCCATCACGAGCTCCTGTGGCAAAGACAGCTGAAAAATAAATGTTCTTTTCAATATAAATGTAACTGAGAAGAAAGTATAAATTCAATGTATAGCACATATATTAAAATATTACTATAATTAATTGTTCTTATACCTTTATCTTGATGACGAAATACTGCTGTTTTTACACTACGTGTATGAGCATGAAAATATTCAATTTGTTTAATTTCGGATCTGGATACATCCCACAATTTTGCCGTATGATCTCCTGACGCTGTTACCAACTTTAATTCACCAGGCATCCATGCAATATCAAAAATTGCATTAAAATGTGCCTGGAATGAATATAAAATTAGCAGAGTCATATTTCTATTATTTATAATTTTCATATAACTATTTTTGTATATATACATGATAAAAAGAAGAAGTAAATTATACAAATTTCATTAAAGAACAATGTAATACCTGAGTTCCTTCTAATGGTTTATCATGGTTTCCTTTAATACTTATATCTTGTAAAGCTATTTTTCCATCTTCATTTGCTAAGGCAAGTATTTGTTCATTATTTTCCTTGGTACAGAAACGGCAAGCAAAAACTGGTGGTTCTGGATTATAATCTGGAGCATTTGTACTTGGCGATATTCCACGATATACATCATTATGATAGCATTTTAAACGATATAAGGCTACGTCATAATCACGTATAAATTCTGAAAAGAAAATTTCATTTTTTCTTATTAGCATTTAAAAAAGAATAAGTATTATGTCCAAATAGAATACAAAAAAAATATATGATTTCTTACATGACAATACAATTTTAAAAATACATGTTATATATGTATATATAACCTTTCGTATAAAACAATATATTAATTTTTATTTTCTATAATAATATATAATTTTCTTAATAATTACCAAACCCCTCTTGACGCCTCGTAATAGAGTGTACTAAGCTCATTTTTATCTTGCATTAATCAATCGTTTTATTAATTATATCGTTATACAATAATTCATATGTCTAATATTCTACGCGCGAAAACTACTTACTTCTCTTTGCAAATTTGATGAATACTCATGTAACGATTATTATATATATTTGATAAAGTAATTAATATTTACATTCACAATATTTCTATGAACATCATTAATATAACATTTATTTCTTCATACAATATAAAATTTTTTATATTTCTAAACTAGCCTCTAACTTTGATTTTGAAGTGATCAAATAAATTTGTAAACGTTGCTTAAATTGATACAAAAAGCGTTTTCGTTGGTCTCTCTCTCTGTCTTTCTCTCTCTTTCTCTCTCTCCCTCTCTCTCTCTTTCTCCTTCTCTTTCTCTCTCTCTTTAAGAATATGTAGTCGGAAGAATTTCAACATATAAAAACATATTTTTGATGCTATTTTTTGAAAGTGTTCACAAAGACATCTAATAGTGAAGGTTCGATTTACTTATATAGCTGAGTTGAATAAACTTATCGTAGATTTAATATTTAGTAAAAACTAATAGAAATTTATAGATCATGGAGTGAATTTATAGTAGATCTTTCAAGAATGTTCGGGAATGTTTTTTGCACGATATCAAACGAATTGTGTTCATACCAAAGTATATACTATTTGATCAGTAGATATTTCAGTTGTACAAAGTATCAAGAAAACGTATATATGGTATTTTGTACTTATACTTGATGGAATTTATTATTATGTATTAAAGGAATTACTAATTTCTTGGTTCATGGGTGCTTCATATACAAGAAAAAGAAATACGAAAATGAACAAGTATGTTTAATATATATATATATATATGTATATATTTAACCGATCTTCAGACTTGATTAAAAATAGTTCTGATTGAATACTTTTCTATGTTGTTAAAATATAATTATAAATTTGATTACATATAATAATTAATGTATCGTTATTTTAGACCTACTTCAAATTCTGAAAAAACAAGTGGAGAGAGTCATCCTAGCAGTAGTGCAAGACCATTATCTATAGAAGGACCGAGTACTTCAAATAATCTAATTCAATCACAGCTAATGCCAGAACAGCCAAGGCAACCTTCTGATCTTCAGGGCCTTCTGCGATTTTCTATCGAAGCGTCCCAAGCAGAAGGTGTAACACATGAGCCTCAATTTCAATCTCTAGATGAAGAAGTATGCACGTAATTAGATATTTATTGTATAGTGTATTTCAATATTTCAGTTATTATTGACATTTTGTATATGTTTTACAGAAGAAAAAGTTCTTAAGTGAAGCGTTATCTTCATTAACTGTAAATGTGATAGAAGAATTGCAAAAAGCTATACAATTTGTATCAAATGTTGTGGATCTTCGGGCTGATGATGACTCCTCTGAATATGATGCAACTCTTGAGCGAATTGCAGATTTTGTGGATAGTATTGATATTGCCAATGATTTTTACAAAATTGGTGGCTTTTCAATATTTGGTCCATGTCTAAATTCTTCTCACAGTAGTATCAGGTGGAGAACAGCAGATATAATCGCTGAATTGACACAAAATAATCCATTTTGTCAACAAAGAATTTTAGAATGTGGGTTGTTTCCAATATTATTAGAAATGGTAGATAAGGATCCTTCAGAAGCTGCAAGAATCAAATCTTTGTATGCTGTATCATGTATGTACAAAAAATTTATTTAATATGATTATGAATATTTGAATTTACTACTAAAAAATGCTATTTATATTTATGTTATATAGGTATAGTAAGAGGACAGCCGATGTCTTTACAATACATAGATAAAAACGATGGTTATTCTGTTTTTTTAAGAGCTATGCAAAGTTCAGTGAAAAAATTACAAATAAAATCTGCCTTTTTACTCTCGTCACTTTGTAACAAAGATAATTCGGATAATTTAAAAATTACTTTCGTTAATATGGGATTAATTGAACAAGTAGCTGGATTATTAGCATCAGATAATATTTCTCCAGAAATAAGGTAAAAAATAACAGTTTTTATAAATATAATATTAAACTATACATATATTTAAATAAAATTTTCGTAAAATTAATATATTTGTTTTTAAGATAAACTTTTATATATTATTATATTTTTAGAGAGCAGTTATTAAGTATTCTTACTGGTTTAACAAATAATACTCTCTTACCAGCATTACGAGAATGTCGCAGACCAGAACTACGTTTAAAAATAACACTTGAACAATGTCTAAAAAAATTAACACCAGAAGATAAAGAAGAAATAGATATGTGTCATCAATTATTAAACAAAATATTTTGTGATAATGATATTGTTGAAGAAAGATAATGGAATATATTTCCAATTGTATTACATCAAATTATGATCGTAAAAACAATTTAATAACAAGGATAACAAAGACAATGCGTCTAGAATACCGCTTAAATGCTTGAATTTCTTTTATTCTAATTTATTATATATAAACAAAAGATGATAAATTATTAAACATATTACATTTCTGTATAACTTATACACATTTTTGGATTACGTTTAAAGTAATACGTGTACATTGTGACTACATATTTTTTAGATACTCAATTTTTATTGTTAGTTCGTGCTAATTTAATCATAAGTCATTTAAATAGTGATAATCTTAAATATATGTTCATGCGTAGTTAATATAATTTAATGCACAGTAATGCATAATATATACTTATATACCCTGCGGCTATTAATTTGTCATTCCCTCTCTATGCAATTAAATTTTCCTTTTCGTAATTTATATTATCCCTCCGGTTCCATTCTCAAAGAAAAATATTAATATATTCAATAATGTTTATAAGTGAGAGGATGTCAAACCAATGATATATTTAGAAACAAGTAATAAGCCAATGACGATAGCTGTCTCATTGTATGATTATTTGTAAATAATGAAGCTGAAGATGATTTGAGAGAAAGAGAGAAAATTAAAAAGTTCCCCACATAGTAAATTTTTTTTATTCTATAATAATTTCATGTAATGAATATTTGATGTTAAAAAATAGAATATAAATTAAGAATCACTTATTTTTGTAACAGATCATTTTCATTCTTTATTATTCATTTATATTTTTTATTATAAAATATTGATAATTTCTATAGGGATAAGTATGACTGATAAAAATGGAAACTTGGTATTCCTCCTCTCACTCATACCATTCATGACTTTAGATATACATAGATTCTTTTTAAACTACACAAAATTGGAGTATTACGTTTGATTAGAAGCAGTGATGTCTGACAACAAAAAATCGGACGAACAAATAGAAGATTCGGAGTTAAATGATTTATTAGATAGTGAGTAAATCATTTTATTTTAATCATAAATTGGAATTTAACATTCTAACCTTTGAACAATCATATTTATGAAATGTTATCTTTTATATTTTTAATTTTCGTGAAATATTGTTCAAAATATTATTACTATATACACATAGAAGACTTTAAAAGCAAAATTAAACAGCTAAAGTAATTATACGAACATTGAATTGAATATATATTTCTTTGTGATTATATAATACTTAAATATTTATTACTTTTCCCAATAATATTTATTTAAATTAATAAACAGTATAAACATTAAATAATAAATATTAGCAGCTTAATATATTATAAAATATTTATGTTAAATTGTTTTATAATAATTTTATATTGATATTTACTATATCTTAGGTGCTTTGGAGGATTTTAATAAAAGCTCTACATTAGATGTAAAAGATGATGATGGTACAGCATCAAAAACTGTGCCAGTGAATAATACAGAGGAAACATCTGCAGATATTGATAATCTATGGACAGAAGATTTTATTAAGCATGCTGCGGATCAATTTGAAAAAAATTTTCAGAATTTAATGCAAAATGGTAATTATATATACATATTTTGAAAAAAATATTACTTTTTGATTTTTCAAATAGGATCAGAAAGCGAATTAGGAGTTTCGTTTCAAAAAATGGCTCAGACAGTTGCTAATGCTATAGTTGATGGAGAAACTACAGATGGTGAACCTACAAGTGCTGATTTTCAGTCAGCTATTGCTCAAGCTTTAAAAGATTTATCCGTTACATCAGAAAATTTGCAGGTAATTCAGAAAATCCTTAACAAATAATTATAACATGAAATTAAATTTAATTATATTTTAGAATGAACCAGATCTTGTCTCAATGTTTGGGCAAATGAATTTAGAAGAAGGTGCAGGGGATATATTACCATTTATGCAAGGCATGATGCAATCTCTTTTATCCAAAGAAATATTGTATCCATCATTAAAAGAACTAGTAGATAAATATCCTGAATGGTTAGAACAAAAAAGAGCTACATTACCCTCATCTGATTTACAAAGATATACAAAACAATTAGAAGTAATGCAAAAGGTTTGTTATTTATAACTAAAAATATATAATACTAAAACAATTTGTTATTTATAACTAAAATATATAATACTAAAAACAAAAAATAAGAATTAATTTGAAATTTATACATTTTAAGATTTGTAATGAATTAGAAAAAGAAAAGGATACTGATACAGAAGAAGTTAAAAAAGGACGTTTCGAAATGATATTAACATTTATGCAAGATATGCAAACTTATGGTCAACCTCCTGAAGAGCTTATTGGAGAACATCCAGCTCTTTTACAATTTGACTCTGAGGGTAATCCTGTTATTCCGCCATTACCTCCTGGAGTAGAACTCCCACAAAATTGTTGTATTATGTAAATACAATAGCATTGTAGATTTTTCTATATAAATAATATATCCGTTTTATCGATTTAAAAACGATTGCAGTCAGAATGGGAAATATTTAAATTTACATTATGTAATATGTCAATAACATGTTCATATAATGCTAGAAACATTCTATTCTTAGGAGAATGAAAACAAATTTTTTAATATGGTCAATATTTTTTTTAGAAAAATGAAGGTACATATTTTGTATCAATTGTATATTATTATACACAATAATTTATATAAACGTTAATGGTATATATGAGTGAAGACTGTTTTGTTTTGGTTTTACATAAAATAAATTTATGGAAAAAATATTGTTTGTTTTTTGCACTTATTAACATTAAATCAGATGCTGTAATATGCATTTATATGCATAGATTTTCTTTCTCTAAATAATTAAGAAATTTTCCTGTAAACATTTTATTTTTATTAGGATAGTAATAACATTTTACATGTGATAGCCAATTTACTTGTTCAGATAAATTATGATATATTTTTGTCCTATGAAACATGAGAAAATAAACTTCTGAATATTCAATAATTCTAGTTGTGTTTGTATGAGAATACATACATTAAGCAATATATAATTTTAACTGGAACTAGTACATATATTCATATCTTTTTGCCAATAATACTTCAAGATGGAGAGAGTGCTGCTACACCAGGCAATACTTTCCCTTCAAGTAATTCTAAACTTGCACCACCACCTGTGCTGACATGACTCACTTTGTCTTCGGTTTTCCATTTAGCAGCACAAGTTGCTGTATCACCACCACCTATAATAGTAATCGTACCACGACCAGTAGCTTCTACAACATTATCCATTAAACTCTTTGTGCCTTTATTAAAATTTTCAAACTCAAACACTCCAGCTGGTCCATTCCATACTATTACTTTTGCCCTTTTAATTGGTTCTATAAAATTAAGACTATATACTTAGCATTTATTGTACTTATACATTCATATAGATTTTAACAATTAAGAAATCAACTAGCCTGCAAATAACTCCCTAGACTTTGGTCCAATATCCAAACCGATCCAACCATCAGGTATACCACTTTCTATAGTAGCTTCACCTACGGCCGCATTTTCTGCGAATTTATCTGCTGTTATAAAGTCTACTGGCAAGTGAATTTGAACATTACTTTTCTTTGCTTTTTCCAATAAATCATTTACAATTTTTGCACCTTCTTCATCAAATAAAGAGCTCCCTATCTATAAATGATATAAATAATTCATATAATAAATTTAAATAAAGTTATATTAAATAATTCTTACTTTCATATTCTTTGAAATTTTCAAAAATGTAAAGGCCATTCCTCCGCCTATAATCATTTCATTAACTTTGTCTAGTAAATTATTAATTAATTGGATTTTATCAGTAATTTTTGCTCCTCCTAAGATAGCTAAGAATGGACGTTCTGGATTATCTAAAGCTTTGGCAAAATATTCCAATTCTTTCTTGAGAAGAAAACCACTAGCTCTAACATCAAAATTATCTCCCATCATAGAACTATGAGCACGATGGGCAGTTCCAAAAGCATCGTTTATATAAACATCTCCTAGCTTTCTCAAAGACTCTCTAAATTTCGTGACACTATCTTTGTCAGCTTTTACCTATGAATAAAAATCATCTAAATATAATGAAAAAAATAGAGATATTTAATTTTTGTCATCTAATAATTAAATATATACTTTGCTTCCATCTGGACCAATTCCTTTTCCTTCTTCTTCAATATGAAATCTTAAATTTTCTAACAAAATAATTGTTCCATTTGCTGGATTAGCACATGCCGCTTCCACATCAGGGCCAACACAATCATCCAAAAATTGCACATCTTTTCCCAGAAGTGTTTTCAATTCCTCCGCAACAGGTTTTAATGTATATTTTGCATCTTTTTTCCCATCTGGACGGCCCAAGTGGGACATCAAAACAATCGATTTTGCTTTCTTATCAAGTGCATACTTTATTGAATCTAAAGCAGCAACGATTCTTTGATTGTTTGTTATTTTTCCTTCTTTAAGTGGTACATTGAAATCCACTCTATAAAACATAAAGTAATAAATGATTCTAATTCTATAGACATTAATGTTAAAAAAATTTTAATTGTAAGTAAACAGATTCATTTAAAACAGAGGTTATCATATATACATATTATCAATCATAACTGTCATTTTCTTAACCTCTTCCAGAAAAAAATACAAATATTTAATAATACATATCTTATATTCTATAAACGAGTAAATCTAAATAAATTTTTTTAATTTAACATACTTATTTTAATTTAATTTACTTTTTTAAATTTAACATACATATATATATATATATATATATATATATATATATATGTGTATAATCATAGAAATATGATAAAACTATAATATATACCGCATAAGAACCCTTTTGTCGGCGAGATCCACCTTATCTATGCTGAGTTTGTTTAATGCCATTCTTACGTCTTCTGTTTTTATTCCTTTCTTTTCAACTTTAGTTATCCTCAAGTTCAAATCACTTGTAGATAATTTGACGGAATAACATGCAACGATACCTTCAGATGCTGTTGAGTGTCTCGTATAATGACTGACACGTTCAACAAAGTCAAAGAAAGGTCGCCGAGCGTAGCGACATCCTACAAGTTTTTGAATCGCGCGCATGTCGTGTGTTATGCATGATAAAATCTCTCAATGACACGTTTCATTATTTTACGATTATTAAATAGAAATGAATAAAGTATCTATATTATTAAAATATATAACAAAAATGAGAAAATATTTTTCAGTAATACAATATGATATTTCATTCAATAAATTACAAATTTTTTTAATACAGTTTACATAGAAGGACGTGACGGTTCGATTTGGAACAACCTGCATATGAATACTTTTACTTTCTAATCGATTCTAATGAATTTGAAATAATCCACTGTTGATATCGTATTATCTATTGAGTATCATTATAATTGATCTAATTTTAAAGAAAATTAAGAAATCTTTTCTAATATATAATACATGAACTATAACGATATTACCCATGTGGATTCTTTTGAATTGCATCAGTGATCGATCTGAAAGTCATCCAACTGAACCAGATTAATTAATTGCAGTATCGAATTAGAAGAGCAATCAATCTTTTGATCATTTATATTAACATATTAGCATTGTTTATCTTTTAATAACCATAAATTTAAATAATAATAATAATATTTTTTATGTAGTAGTTTTCCTAAATATTTTCTCGATTATTAAAACTATTTCTACATTATCAGGAAACAAATAAATGTAAATCTTATATTTGTTAGCAATTCTGTATACTTTACGTTACTGTGTCACACCCGCAATGTCTCTGCAATGCTAACTGCACCGATTTTACTGCAGACGTCACCTAACGAGAAATAAATTCTTTTCTAATAGATTTATTATTGAAAATTCTTGTTGGATCCACATAAAGGAAAATTTAATGATAAAATTTAATGAGATAGAAAATAATAAAACAGTTAAATTTTAAAATATTTTTCGAATCTTTACATACTTATGTATAATATGCTTTAATAAATATATCCATTAAATATCTTTAGTAATTTCGTGCACTAAATCTATCATTGACTTTAAATTTATTATAACAGAACAAAAACGAAATCGAATTTGATCATGAAAAAGATCAGATATATCTTTCGTGTTATAAAAAGTAATAAGATCATAATTACGGTACCATTTAAAACAATGTTCTCTTGATTTACGATTTGTAATTATATTAACATATTCTGACTTCTTACAGACGAATCATACTTGTTGTTGCAAGTTTAACGACATGTTATAAACATAAATACCGATTTGCAGAAATTTTGTTTTAAAATTACAGCAATGCAGTTGTAGATAGCTATGTTTCCGAGGAAATATCAAATCGACGTCTAGTATCCTGGAATTTCGTTTGACAACGGTTATTCTTGATCCTGTCCCAGTGGCACAGTTTACATCTTTGTTTGTCTTCAAAGTTGAAATTCAAACATGTAGCATTTCTTCCAAAAATCACAAAAAAAAAGAAAAGTCATTCGAACATCTTTCTTTTCTCTTTTAGATTTTCATGCGATATAAGGTCCTAACTGAAAGGATATTTTCCAAATAATAATTGTGTAATATTATATTATTGTAATTATTCTATTTTTATAAATTTCATTTTTCACTTATTCAGAATAGAGAAAATACTTTTTTCTAAGATATTGAACTAAACTAAACTAGGTTAATCTATCAACACCACCGAGAAAAGTGTCCTGCTAAAAATATTGCTCTTTAATAAAACGCATGCATGATTTTTGTGCGCTACTTAGATCACTGTTAGCCAAGAAATAAAGATAGACAATCTTACAATATCTGCGGAAGTAGAATGTGCTTATTTTTGGATTTATATACAGCTGTTATTGATGCAAAGGACAAAGATTAATGTTTGAAATTTTAACACTGAAAAATTTAACGTAATTTACTGGTTTATGATTTATTGATCGTGTCCTGAAAACAGAATATGGCTCGTTCAACAATTTCGATTACTTCTTGAAAATACAGTCACGCAATATTGTCACCCTATCTTAGATATTCGTTCTTCCAAAATAAATAATTTTCACGACTGTGGAACTATGTGTCATGGTATCGATGTATGTCAATGAACCATCTCTCTTTTTCTATTGTAAAGCTCCGTTGATCGACTGCCAAATCGGATGTCAATGTTCGGAGTAGTTATCATAAATAAGAGGAGAAACGATTTCTCCCCTTCATTTCTTTCTCCGTTGATCATGAATGGTGACTTTTTCAGCCTGCTCGATGGTCACCTGACCCTTTCTCGTCTAAGCATTGCGACCTCTCTGACCGCCGATGCTGAAGCTCTTAAAACGAATAAACCACGACGACTAAGCTCTAATTCCAACCAAAATAGCTCAACTTTTCTGAACGCGGAGGCGGCTCGCTTATAATGTTCCAAGATATACTTTCTTAAGGAGTATACTTAGGAGTACATTTAAAGGAGCATATTAAAATTTGTATTGAACACTGTCCAACGAAACTACGTTGATTTGTGTTAGTTTACGACAGAACGTCTTAGAAGAGATCTTGATGAACTTTCGTATTTGGCATCAAGAATTGTCAGGCATCATGAATAAAGAAAAGATCATACTTGAATATAGAAGTATATCTAAGAGAATGCACACTTGCAGATCTGTAAAGTAACATTTGTGAATAATGAAAAATATTACATGAACTCTATCATTATAGTAGCATGAATAATAATAGTGTAATTAATGTAAGAAAGTGAACTAAATTTTTCTAATAATTTCAAATGGATTATTTCACCTGTTTCACGACTAATATTTCGATCTGCCTGTGTCTATTGTCGTATAGTTGTATTTGAACGCATAATTATATCCGTATTAATGGTGCCAAAACGAAGGCAAAAATCAATGGTGCAGAATGCATTTCCTGACTAAGGAAAATTAGTACAACGCTTTGCGAATCGAGAATAGTGCGATCGCCTTTAATTTCTTGAACGTTCTTTTTCTTTGAAATTTTCACATTATTAAATGATTTCTTGGTAGGAAAGAGAGCGAATTAAATAAGTGATATTGTAAATACGTAGGAAAAAATCGATATAGAACAATCGTTCAAAATCTATTAGAGATTTAATCGATATTGGTTTTTTATCTCTAATGGATTCCTTCTTTCTTAAATTTGTACGAAAAGACAGTGCAATACCGGGGAAGGAAAGAAGAACGAGTGGTACGTGCAGGAGGAAGGGGTTGGAAAAAAGGGATCGCGACGACGGTGTCGGTCCAATGCCAGTGAAACTCGCCTCGACGAGCTGGGTTTGGCTCGGCCTTTCGAAGTCGAGTGCCGAGCGCCGAGTACTAACGAGTGCCGGGAACGAAATTCTGTCTGCTAGAGGAGGCACTTACTTCGTTAACGCCTTTAAACGTGAAATCGGTTGCGTTAATCGTTCCGTGCGAATATAGCACGAAGGATCGTTCATCTCTTCTTCATTTCGATTATCACGCTTATACGGTAGTTCTCGATCACAGCCTCTTAAACATTGAATAATCGTTCTTCCAACGTACGTCATTGGTCCATTCTTTCTGGATCTCATCAACGAATCCTAAACCGACCAAAAACTACTTCTATTCTTCTCTTTGGTCACTATACTTCGAAACCATGAAGTGGTACGTGTTATCACGATACACGATTTTTCCTTTTTACCGTAAGCTTTTTTAAGGATCGATCACACGAGAAAAAATATTCTTTCAATTATTTCGATCTTTAAGACCTCTTCGTTACAGATGAGCCTGCGATCATTTAATAAATAATCATTTTATCCAAACTTTTCTCTTAAAATGTAATAAAACAAATCAGTTTTTTATTATAGGTACGAAAAAATTGAAGATTATTTTATGTAATTTTATTATATCTAATGAGAAGATATTTTGATATAACGAATCAAATAAGGGACACTATATATTATATAGCTGCTTCTTTACCGAGCAATGCTTTGCTTTGTAAAATAACTTAAACTTAATATTGTTTCCTTCTGTTTTCATTTATTTTATAAGAAAGCCGTGGGACGTACGAAATGTATTCCTTTTACCGACTACACGATAAATAACGACATAATTATTCGAAAAATCGATGCGATTATGAATCCTCGAGGAATATTATCCACTATAAATGTCTAGTATGTAGTTGATAATAAGCAACGAGATGAACGCCTACGATTTTCAGTAATTATATACACTTTTATTTGGCCTCAACTTCGAGGCAAATATTCGATATTGAAACTTGATATCTCGCCAATGCGATACCATATAAATTCGATCGAAAGATTTATCGTGATGATCGGATTCCAGTCTTAACATTTCGTATCGATTGATATCGAAAGTTCTTTTTGTGTTCGATAAGTGAGTACATCGAACTGGTTATGTCAGCTAAATAATTGTAACATCGGTCCTAGATACTCTATCATTCGGGGAGTCAATTGTGCACGAAACGAAGAGTGACCGCGTAGTTATTTATGCTCTATGGTTACTCTAAAATAAAAAAGTTCAACGAAAAATCTTCGAAAAAGTGCTGTGTCGGAGAGAACGATGTTGCCTGCTGTATCACACACCGAGTGGGGCCGTTTAAAAATAGATGTTTAAACTTAAATTATGCCCTCTGGTGAAGGGAACCGGTAGAATAGCGGTCAAAATTTCATAGTCTTACAGTAAGTTCCTTCGATCTTTATCGAATTTGTCGAATTGCGGAAAAAAAATATTCTTATACACTCTTTTAATTTTTATTTTCATTCATCGAATTATATTTAGAATATGATATTAAATTTTAAATATAATATAAGAAAAATAGACAGAATACAAGTAATATTTGAAACAAATAATATCGATAGTTACTTTTCAATACTTTACAATATTATGATGTATTAAAAATCATGATATAAAAAAAAATATTTGAAAACAATATTAGAAACATTTAATAATTTTTTTCAGTATTTTATGCTTTATTGATAATAGCACGAAAGAATATTTATGCGATATTTTCAAAATCATTGATTAAAAGGGTAAAAGAAATATAGGGAAGTTTTCAATTACAAATAAGTACGATTTAAGTTTATTAAGTAATACTTCTTTGCATATAACTATCTCGTAATTATCTTTAATATTATCAGAACTAAGCTAATTAGAAGTTCTTATTTTATTTAAAAGAAATTTTAAAAGCGAAAGTAAGCCAGTTGTACGACGATCTTTACCTTGAGCATGACATTCACCTACGAGCGTTTGTGCGAATCACGCATGCTTGAGATGACCGATACATATGTGCACATGGTTGTGTGAGTTTTAGGTGTACATGCATGTACGCTAAAAGCTAGAATAAACACGTTTGTATGCAAGTTCGGTATGTGCAGCGGTGCAGTTTCAATCGACCAACTCAGTTTATCGGTATGCGATTGGCTAGTAAAACTGCTCGCTTAATTTCTTTACGCAAGCTCGTGATACAAAACGCCAACTTATATATTTCATTTGTATTGCTCTCTCCTATCATTTTTGTTCAATGAATAATTCTTTTCATATATAGGTACGACCGACTATCTTTAAATCGAGATCATCTTATTGACGCATTCGGATATATATATAGAAAATTTGTTAAAAAAAATTGAGTACAATCTTGAGTTCTTTATAAATTATTATTATACATAGAAAAATATTTGTAAGATCGCAAACATAAACATCACTTTAAACTATCACTCATTGAATCGAGCTAATATTTAAATTGATTCAAATAATCGAATTTCTAAATCGAATGTTTGTCGAGACAAAATTCTTAAAATACATCAAGCGTGCGTGAAAAAGAAAATAAAAAGATCAAAAGATATATTAGAACTGAATCGTTTCGTGTGCAAATATGAAAAGATGTGTAAAAATTTCGAAAGAAAAAAAAAAGAAAAAAGGATCATTTAGACGATGATATTGCGCGTATCCTTACGCATTACCCTGTCGCGTCGCATGACGTATTGTGCAGGCACATTCGATAAGTGCATTCGATAGGCGCACACGATAGGCGTTATATGTATACTGTATACTGTTGCGTGTGCGCTACTCTCAAAGGCGCTAAAAGAACGGCACTTGGACGAGTTGTTAGTTAAGGGAGACTCGGAGAAGAGGGGTTGGTTCAGAGTAGCGTGCGACAGAAAAGGGACGGTGAAAAAGAGAAATCGAAGAACAAAATATAATAAAAACGGCGCGGCGTTTCATAGGTCTCGGAAAAGAGAGAAAGATTCATCGATCGAGCGAGCCAAGTGCTATCTCGTGGTCATTACGAATAACACGGTCTTCGGCGCGATGCGGAATGGTAAAATCGAAAAATGGCTGTTTCATTTGCGTGCGCTCACTTTTTCGCTCAGATCTACATTCAGTTAATTATTGTTTCTCATTAATATCATTATTTCTTATTTCAATATTCAGCATAGAAAAAGAAAATGGAAGGAGAACAAGCGAATGACGTTTCGAGGGACTTTGACTCTTTATTGGAAAGGGACGAAAGGGGTAAGGGATGCGAGGGGAAAATGCAAGAGAGAAGTGCGCGATCGTAAGGAGAGGTGCGTTCAGCGCTCGATCGCACGGCAGAAGTCCTCCGACTCGCGGAGGAACGCCGTGTCGGCGGCGCTCGTAGCAGACGACACTGTTAGTAAAAATAAAGTGTCATTGTATATTTGGATCAGTTCTTTCTCGTGTGTGCAAGTGGGGTTCGAGAATAAGGCATAGGATTCTCGAAGGGGGGGGGCGAGTCTTCGGGATACATTGAAAATTCGATCATATATTAATGTCGTCTTGTCTACGGTGGTAACAAAGTAGTAGTAATAGCGTTGAGAGGGCATTATCGTGGGAACGTGTGCTTCCCTCTTCCAACGACAATGAAGAAGAATTGGTTCTCTACGAGAAATTTTTCTTTTATCGAGAAAGAAGACCGCGAAAACATCATTTTGTGGCAAGAATTACGTTTGAAACGATAAGAAAAAGAAGAAAAGAAAGAGATAGAGAGAGATAGGAAAGAGAGACAGGTATAGGGGAAGAACGAAGAGAGAAAGAGAGAGAAGCCAAGAAAGGAAGGCGACAGCAAACGCTGTACGACGACGGGAGCTAGAGAGGGTAGAGGGAAAGAGAAAGAAAAGAAGAGAGAGAGAGGGAACGGGTGTATAGAGGGCTGACGACACGGTGGGGTAGACGGCGGGTTAGGCTATGAAGTAGGTGGCGGGACGAAGGGAGGGTTGAAGGAAAAGCTAGGAAGAGGTACCGCCGTCGTCCCCTTCCCCTTGTGCTCTAGCTGCACCCTTCGCTTGCACGCAATTATGGCTGCCTAGCACAGGGCGCGTATTGACCAATTTTCTATTACCCGCGCTAGAGTTAGGTTAAAGATCTCGTCGCGAGATTCTTTCTCGGGGTGTGTCGATCCTTTTTCGCTTGCATTGATAGCCCGTAATTCGGGCCATCATCTAGGCTTCGTCATTGAAGATGTCGCGATCATACGAATAAACCACCCTTCGTCATAATGACACTTCAAGTAAAGGGTTGGTTCCGTTTTCCAGGCATTCTAATCATCTTGAAAATTTAGTGCTGAGGAATGTAGGCGACGAAAGTACGGATCAAAACAATAATATAACTATGACGAGCGAGGATTTATTACAACCTGGCCATGTGGTCAAAGAACGATGGAAAGTGGTAAGAATGCGAATTATTTGTTCTCTCTTTTGTTCTCTTTTTTTATCATTTTTCGCCTTAACGCGTTCTCTCGACTTTAGAGAACGTAAACTTTGCACGTTTTTTTCTTGAATCTTATTAACTGTAGATTGATTAAGAAACAAACCTGTTTTGTTTAAATAAATTTTTTAAAAAATAGTACTTTATGAACTGCATTATGTTTTTGAGTTGATCCACTTTCCAATTCCAGAATCTAGTTTTTAAGTTTTATCTCTTTTACAAATACCAATAAAAAAAACACTTAAAAGACTATATCTCTGTAGTCTTTTCTAAATAGTTTGATATAGCATACAAACTAAGATGTAATATATATATATGTATATGTATACTATAGGTTAAAAAAATAGGGGGTGGCGGATTTGGTGAAATATACGAAGGCCTAGATTTAATGTCAAAAGAGCAGGTTGCTCTTAAAGTGGAATCCGCACGTCAGCCTAAACAGGTCCTTAAAATGGAAGTTGCTGTATTGAAAAAATTGCAGGGTCAGTATAGAATACCCTTCTATATTTTTTCAATATTTATATGCTTGCTTATAAAAAAATGTATTTCTGGGATATTTCTGTGCCTGAATTGTTATATTGATTGTATCAATGAATCTTTACAATACAGATTTGAATCAAATATAAAATAAAAATATTTTTTAATACATATATTGCTCTGTTTCAGGTAAAGAACATGTTTGCAGATTTATAGGCTGTGGTCGTAACGATCGATTTAATTATGTTGTAATGCAATTGCAAGGAAAAAATTTAGCTGAATTAAGACGAGCACAGCCAAGAGGTGCTTTTTCATTATCAACTACTTTACGACTAGGTCTTCAAATTCTGAAAGCAATAGAAAGTATACATCAAGTAGGCTTTCTTCATAGAGATATTAAACCTGTAAGTGTCTTTAATATTCTTAATATTTAATTTACCTATTTTCCTACCTTTACATTCGCATATAGTTTTTTAGTCTCCTGAATTCTTGTTAAGGCAATTATTTATTACATTTATGTTTACAGTCAAATTTTTCTATTGGACGCCAATCATACAATGCTAGGTTGGTATATATGTTAGATTTTGGTCTAGCCCGCCAGTTTACAACAGGTACTGGTGAAGTTAGACCACCCCGTGCTGCTGCAGGGTTTAGAGGAACCGTCCGGTATGCATCTGTTAATGCACATAAGAACAAAGAAATGGGACGACATGACGATTTGTGGTCTTTGTTTTACATGCTTGTAGAATTCGTTAATGGTCAACTACCATGGCGTAAAATAAAAGACAAAGAACAAGTTAGTTGATACTCAAATTTTATACTCATAATACAAGATATGTACATACATCTTACATAAGTCTTTTTAAAATTAATAGTCATACAGTGTTATATGTTTTATAGGTAGGTTTTATGAAAGAAAAGTATGACCATCGTTTACTTTTAAAGCATCTTCCATCTGACCTTCGCCTGTTTTTGGAACATATTCAGGTATGCCTTTTTCAAATTAATACAGGTTAAATATATCTATTGAAAAGGTAGATCTGCTTATCTCTTACCTTTATCTCTATATATGTAATAGTATTCCAGCGGTACAAAATTATTATTTAATAGATGTATATATAAAACTTATTTATAAATGTTAGGATTTTTAAACATATAAATGTAATATTATTTTTACAAACAACATTCATTAAAAAATCTTTATAATAGTAAATAGAAATATAAATGTCATAATACAAAATAAAATTAATACAATCATATTTTATAGAGTCTGGGATATGCAGATGAACCAGATTATGCAATGTTAGCTGGTTTGTTTGAACGATGCATGAAACGTAGATGTGTGAAACCAAATGATCCTTATGATTGGGAAAGACCATTGATAGCTAATGAAGGTTTATCAACTACCAGATCATTACCTACAGTTACTGTTCCTCCTGCACTTACAACAGCAACTGCTATTAATCAGCCTCCAACCATACCAACTGTAGATACAAACAACCAAGAAAATGTTGAACCAGACAACCGAAAAGAGTTAGATGTAAGAAATGTAGTTAAAATTATTTTTACAGTTTATAATAAGACCAAAATTAATATAGTATTACTAGTAATATAACAGAAAATGTAGAATTCTAAAATTATGCCTGTTTCATATATACATATATTCATATATTAGAGACTAGTATGATTAAAAAAAGAACAGTATGAAACACTTACTCTCGTTTGGGAAGATTAACTTTTTTATTTTTTATCAAATTTATTAAAGAAATAGAGCCTAAATAGCCAAGCACGAACAATGAATAATCTAGTATATTCAATCTCATACTTTAATATTCATGTATTCTTAATATTAATTTTAATAATAATATATATGCAATGATATCCTTGAAAGGCACTGATGGATTATGAAAGTGTATGTAGAAGAAACAGACAACGTGAAGTTGAAAGTTCTCCAGTACCATTTGCATCGGCTATTAGTAATCATGGTCGAGATAAAAATTGTAATGCAACAATACCTACAACAGATAACACTCAGCCTGGTACACAAAATACTGCAATTCTTCCTGTAGTTCAAGGTAAATCTTTTTTGTATACTTGTGATAGTTCAAATTATTTTATTATTATTATAACATAATTTTCCTTTCTTTAGGTTCTCCGAAAAAAAGGCGTGCTTTATCAATGGCAGTAGAACCACAAACTCCTGCCACAACAGTAGAAAAGCAACTGGACAATGAAGGTGATGCATTAATGGCGTCTGCTTGTTCAGCTTCTGAAGTTCCTCGTTCTAAAGTGATGTCAAATGCAGTAACTCCATTAAGAAAATCTGCAAGTGGCGCAACATTTGCTCGTTTGCGTGTTGCAACTGCTCCAGAAAAAACTTCTGGTGAACCACCAAGTCCACGTGTACAAACTGAAGTGGATGCATCTTATTGCTCATATGATGTGACTAATACAAAATACATAGGAAATCAGAGTCCCGTATGTATACAGCATGACGTTTTATATGTGTCTTTATGTATATTATTTTCATTACATGTATTTCTATACAATAACTATAAAAAAAATTAATTATTTATATGCATCACATTAAAGCATTTCCATGGTAGTAAAACACTTTAGTATTAACCTTTTTTTCAGTCTCTGCACTTGAAGTATTTCTTTATTTTGTAAGCAGGTACCCCTGCTATCTTATATATGATTAGCAGGTTACTGAACAGAGGGAACCATTACGACGGGAACCAAGAAGAAGAACGGATGGGCGACAGCAAGGAAGAGCAGGACGTGCTACTGTACGGGATTGCTCCATTACGCAGTTTGCGCAGATAGATGACGACAATGTGTCAGCCTTACAACAAGTGACGAAAGGTGGTGGTGGATTAACATTAGCTTCACAATGGAAATCACAATTCGATGATTCTGAAGAAACAGATAATGAATGGAAAGGTGAAAATTTACAAAGTCCTGAGCATAAGGGTACGAATCTACCATCTCTGGTTCCACAGGTGAGTATTAGATCTATTATTTTGTTCAGAAGGTCAGACGCGAATAGAATACATTTACTCACAGAAATTTTATTTAGACTTTATATATGTGGATATAATTTTTTTTATTAGTGCGGCTTACATGTTCGCGTGTTTTATATTTACATCAGATATTATCTTTCAATTTTTTAAACAATACAATTTCAATAATTGATGGAAGTATCTGTTATATTCTAGCCATGTCTGCCCTATATCAACATCCTCGCTTGACACCTGCTGTACTGCCAAATCAAGTTCTTGATTACCGTCATTTTGAGTTCAAAATGCTATAGCTTCTCCTTTTACGTATATGTTAATAATTTCATTTCTTTGGATTAGAGTTACATGTATATCAAGATTAATAACGCAAGTGTACGCTATATCATAGAAAAATACATTTTAATGCATGACCTGTATTAAAAAATATATATAGGGTGTTTCATTTGATTAATCCATGCAAATAGAACACCTATGGTCATGCATTAATATACATTTATAATTTATTCTATATATGATCCATTTACCTTCTCCTAGAAGATGATAGTACACAAAACATTTTACTATTTTGTTGCAATGTTCTTTAAAACTTTGTTCCAAATTAAAAAAATACCATAATGTAATAAAAAAATACAGTATCAAGAAAGGTGTTCTTATGTGTATAAAGTAGTGGGATAAAGTATACAATTTTTAATGTAAGTTTATTGCATGTGTTCTACTGTGCTTACTAATAAAATATAGTAGGAGCAAAGTATTAATTACATTTATAAAATATAAATATGTATGGGTGTATAATAAGCTATGATTATAGTACTAAAATAATTAGTCTGAAATTTGATATTGTTTTTGCAACAAATATTTTAATATAATTATACGAATTTTATGGGAAATATTACATGTAATAACATTTTTTCTTTTTAACTTATGTTCATTTTTTTTTATATACGTTTTGTTTATCCAGACAGCTAATGAAGCTAATACTACAACAACTTCAATACCAGTACCAACTGATACAAAAGCAGCAGGTCCACATCCAAGTAGTTCATCAAATACAATACAGCAACATGTGGTAGTACCAACAGCTTTATCACGCATAAGTGAAGATTCTCCACGTCCGGTAGTTCCACATAGGTGTTTAAATATTGCTGGTATAGAAAAATATCCAGAACTCCAAGGAGCTCTTCCACGTGCTTGGAGCGTTCCTACATTAGCATCACACGTTCGTAACCATCTTGAAGCTCCATTGGTATGTATAATTATATATTACATTATATAATACATTTGAAGCAGTAAAATAGAATCGCATCATTGTATGATATCATTTTTGTACTAATAGTTATACAATATCCTAATGTACGCGTCCTTTTAACAGGTTCAACAAGCTGCATTTGATGATTTGTTTTATGAAGTAGATGTTATGAGAAACATTGCTACAAGATATGATGAACCAAGACAAAATCCACCACCAAGGAGAGCTAGTGTACCCGCTGTTGCTTTTTCACCTCATAATACTGTGCCAAGCACTCCTGCTGGTGATGAAGAAGAAGAAGCTGTAGCAGGAAAGCTTGAAATTAGAGTAGTAGACGCAACAGGAGGAGCTACAGTAATACAAACAAGTGCTGATAGAGAACCATTACAAAGTAAGTTGAACAATAAATGTATTAATTTTCTATTACTTTTGAAGAAAATGATATAAATATAGCTTTTGCTTCTACACATTACAGATATAGTAATAATTATCTGAAATTAATCTTCATTTTTTTATTGATAAAAGCTTTATTTCTTAATTAATGTAATTTATTTAATTCATTTAATTCACAGGAAAATTAACAAATGGTACTGCATGTAGTCCAGCTAGCCCAAATCCAGGGCCTGAAGAACCATCAGTATATTATGATGCAAATGAAAGTCGGGTACCTATTAACAATATTCAGAATAAAGAGTCTGGTGCTACCACTGCCGTAACCACTGTTCCAAACTCAGTGCCATTACTGCGTGAATATAAGGACAATAAAGAGAAAGAAACACCTTGCAGAACGTATAATATTCACAGTAAAATACCAATACCAGTGAAGAGTCCTAAATGTTCATTATCTGAATCTACTCCTGAAACTAACACACCGAATACTAGGACTGGAACAGGAAGTGAAATAGAAAAATCACCAGCACCCATGGTTGTAACTAAGGAAAGAGAAACTAGTTAGTAAAATGCTTCTTCATGATATATGTCAATTTTTTATATATCGTGTTATTAATCATGAGTTTAAAGTTTTCTTTATATTTAATTGAATTACGATATCTTTGATTTCTATATCTACGATAGATCAGAAAAAAAATTAAATATTTTTAGTAACATTTAATGAAGACATAGAGTTGTAGTGCAAAGATAATTTATAAGATTATAATACTTTGCAATGTAAAAGTATTCGTAGCTGTATAAATTTTCCTTTTATATAGATAAATTTTTGTACTAAGAAAATGGAAATATTTTGCAAATAAGATTCAAATAATATTCTCGCAAAGAATTAAACTATTTTTTAATAATACTTATCTAATATTAGGTATGATAGTGTATTAACTTGATAAAATTTTAGAATATTAATAATTTTACACATGTTATTTAAAAAAAAATATTTGTATACTAGAAAGCAATCTATTGAAAAGGTATATTTTTCTTTTATTAATTAAAAAATTAGCTTATATTATTTTATATTATCACATCATTGGCTTAATGATTTGAAACTTACATTGTAATGCTTTTATCATACTATTTACCATTCCAATAATCTAATTTCATCTTATTATTAATTACGAAAGAGAAAACAAATCTTTATTTAGTACTAAATATGTGTTGATTTTTGCAATTAATATTACATACAAATCTATCAATACTAATGCTACTAAATTTTAGCTATTAAAGGTAAACCCTTGACAGTACATATGGAGGCACCTGCACTTCGTCGTTGTGCTACTTTACCTGATGCAAGACCAAATATGTCACCTTTAACATCGGCTAGTTCGGCAGAAGATGAAAATTTAACTGGTTGTACACCAGCATTACGCCGTCGTAGACAAAGTGAAAAGTATGTAACAGATGCCAGTCAGCTTAATTTACGATTTCAAAGACCACAACGTAGGATGAGGCCAAATTCTGAAGTATTACCAAGATGCTTCCCTAGAGGTGTACCTTCACATCTATTAGGAGAAGGTGGTAAAAGAACAGAAGAAAGCAGTGATAATGATTCTGATAGCAGTGGTCCACAGAATACTCAACCTCCACCGCCGCCAGCAACTCTTCCACCTCATGTAGCGGAAAATAATGCTAGGTATAACATAGTTGATAAGCTCATTATTATATATATCACTAGATAATTACAAATATAATTATACTATTTCGTGTTCAGAAGTATATAATATATACATATGTATATATATATATTTATTTATTTATTTATTTATTTATTTATCGGTACAAGTATTTATTTATATATTCATCTACATGTATTTGACATTTCAGGTGTCGCAGATTTAGACCTATACCAGATGCTACAGTAGTTAGCAGAGAATCGTGAGAATTAGTGTTCAGAATTTCCCAAGTCTGCTTATATTACAATCAAGACAATTCAACCACAACCAAATGGGAGTGTCATACTTTCTTGGAAGAATACAGCCTTCATAGTAATCCGAGATGCTCATTAGAACTTAAAGACTTTGCTGAAAGGAACGGATATTCATTGTTATTTTATAAGAGAAGCACAGCACTATATTACTTTGGTATGTGATCGCGTAAAATATTGTTTTAAAATCACATTTTCAATTAAATTATCGTTATTTATGACATGATACATTTTTTAATTTTTAGGATGTATAATTTACAAATTGCAGTAGGCTGAGCGTAATTGTAAATACTTTTATTTTCAGTGTACATTCAATATAAGAAATCGAAATACTTAAAAGACGATGATTAGAAATTATATCTTTTTAATTATGAAATTCTTTAATACAATATAACTTGACAGTTATATTTTATATTACATATAATTTATTACAATAAATAACTGTTTGGTGATTCTAACTTTTCATTTTTTCTGTAAAAAAATAATATTTATTTATTTATTTTATATAATCCAAATTATATTATGAAATGATATTTAATTTTGTCAGAAACGTTGACAGAACGTTCAAAAAAATATATTTTAGAAATACCATAGTATGAAATATACTGTTTGTGCACTGAAAATTTATTTTGAAGTTTAAATTGCATAAAATATGATGTGTTAAGATGTGTTTGAGGACTGCAAAAACAATGCTTTGTTATAACTTTGATCATGTAATACCTTTGGGTGTTAAATTATACATGATACACATACATCATGCGCGCGCGCTCGCGTATATACAGATGTAAATTATACTAATAATGCTAGAACTACATATGTACCAATGCGGATTATATTTAGCAATTTTACATACAATGTAAAGCACTCAAACAAAAAGTTATGCCTGATGCTAAACACAAATTCATACGTATAATAATAGTTACAACTTTGATCAGTATATCTTATTTACAGTTTAAATTGCAAAGGAAGCAAATATTTATCTTATAGAAGATAATTTTGAAGTAATTATTAATCCGGGCGAGTATGCTAGTCTTTAAAAGCCCACTACAGGAATCAACAGAATGCAACAATTTTTTAGTAATATCGTCCAGATTGTTTGTGTATCACATTAATTAATGATTTAAACGCACTGGGTATTTAGTATATCTATTGGTAATAGGCATTATGATTGATATGTTTTTAAAGTTTCTTTTTATTACACTAGAGTCGTGCAATACTGAGTCGTTAAAAGCTGTGATCATAAGTTGCAAAAAACATTAAGTTGATCACGATCTTCAATATTATTTCATACAAGCAGAAATAAAAATGAAATTGAAATGAGCAATGTTAGATCATCGGTTATAAGCTGCATTTTTTATTTAAGGATATTAGTATATTATAGCTTTATTTTAATATTCTAATAATTTCATACTTAGTTATTTTTTTTCGTTTTATCAATTAATTACAAATATGTTAAAAATATATAATGAGTGTCCAAATAACTTATACTTCAAGATTTAGACAATATTTTGGGGAGTAGAGAGTATTTTTATTGTAAATTGAGTAACATATTTTATTGATAACTTTATGTAATTCTTTTATTCAAATATTATGCAGCTTTTCCTATGAATAATCAATAATTCACAAGTGATTAAAATCTAGTGATTCTTAAAACTAGTCAAATAGAATTCTATAGTGCTGTATTATTACAATCAAGTTTTTGAGTATAAAGTTATTATTTTGTACAAAAAAGGTTTTGTGCAATTTATGAAATTTTTCAAGCAGTAATATAAGATATAATGATTAGTTTTCAAAGTAAAAAAAATAAATTATTTATTAACAAAAGAGAAATTTTATTTTGTTAAAATAAAATGTTCTTGCATATTTTTATTGATCTAATATTAAAAGCAAAATTAAATAGGATAAACCTATAAGTATATATTCGGACAAATATATATAAAAGGTGCAACACAAAAACATAGCTATAAAAGTAAAGAATATAAATGCAATTTGCTAGTAAAGTACTAGTCAATCGTCGATTCTCTCTCTCTATATATATATATATATCTACATTTATAGATATATTAAATATAAATTGTTTTCAAATTTGTTATTTTGGTTTGCAATTAAAAAAAGTGAAAGTACTAGATATCTGTGGGTATTCACTTAAAATTTTATAGAAATGTGGAAATAAATAAAACGTCTTTTTTTTAATTGTGTAAATAAAATAATAAGGTATGTATCTGTGTTTGAAGCTATAAGGTATATATCACAAATGTACAATGTACGGCATGTATGTACATATACTCATGTACATACGTATATTGTTGTGTAAACCCATATAGTACAAAACGCTCTATTAAATAAAAAGTACTATAATTCAAATTAATTGTGAATTTAGACTTCACTTTATGAAACTGATGCAGGAGAATTCCGCAATTTCGTATATTTAAGAAAAATCAGAAAATGTCATAATAAATTAATGATTTAATAAATTATTTCATGTATTTAAAGTAGCCTGTCTTATGATATACATGAATATGTAACTATTTTCAACAAATATGTTTGATATTATAATTATTTTAAATTCATCAAAAAACATCTTATTCTTATTGTAAGATTACTATTCTAATATATTATAAGTAAAATAATAGATCTTATTAAATCAATATATTTAACAGACTTTACATATTTCAATTAAATATGTAAGCATAAGATAGATTTCTTTAAAAGATTTCTTTTTTATTTATACTGAATATATTTAAAAATCATGAAGATATTTAATCTAAAACGGGTATAAAAAAAACAGTGTAAAATAAGTGCATTACAGTACTGATAATGTATCCTTTCAATCAGTATTAAAATAATTGTCTTTTCCGTGCAATAGTTTAAAATACTATATTAATACAGATACGCCATCATGTAGTTTATATGCCAAATTATGGATACTCGAAATAAAAGTAATTATTGCTATTGTAACTTAGAGCAATACTTCTATCTTATAAATTCTTTAACAGGTTTTTATATACTGCTCTCATGAAATTAAATATGGACATTCTGCAATAATTTTTTATAAATGTATTAAAAAAAATACATGTACATGTTAAGTTATTTAAACTATTACAACGTAATATAGAAGTATTGAAATTTTATAATTTGTATCTATGAGAAATAAGTTTTCTGTTAAATATTATCAAAGAAATATTTCTGTCAATATCGCTTATAAGATACCAGACATTAAAAGAAATGTTGCATTCCGTTGAGTGAAGCCGCCCATACCATCCCACCTCTTAGGTTCCTGTACATATTATACTATTGTAACATTAATAACTTAATGTTGACTATCTTTCACAGATTGTCAAATAATATGATAATTATAATATCCTTTTGCTGCTTTGTGATCTATAAAAAATAGAACTTTGTTGGTATATGTGAACATAGCAACTCTTGACTCTTATTTGTTAGATAAGAACATAGGAGTTATATAATAATTAAATAAACAATTGTATTTAAATATGAAAATAGTTGTCTATAAATAATTAATTAGCATTAGTTATTATTAAAATATTAAAAAAGAAATATATATATATAAGACGAGACATAAACAAAATCTTGAGAAGTAATAATTGTATTTCATTACATCAATAAAACAAGGGAGAGAATATTGTTTTTCTTCGCACAATATAGTTTATTGTATTTTGCAAGTGCCAAGTAAAGTATTTAAAATTATCACAGTGCTTTGCATTGTAATAAAAATGAACTAATTAAACTGAAAGTATATACTTTACAGGTCATATCAAACCCAATCAAAATCTTGGTACAATACAAATTAAATAGATTCTATAGATTCGAGTATGGTGTTAAATTATAGCTAACTAGTCCTGCCACAGTTTTTACTCTACATGTATAATGAATGCTGGGGTATATATAAATAGTGATCAATGTTATAAAAAATGATATGTCTTTATTATCCTTGAGTTAAGATATTTGCACTAAATCTAAGATGTATTCTTTAATTCTTTAATTATATATTTCTAAAAATTCTTTCTCACACTAATGATAATAATATAATAGAGATTAATTTCTTTTTAATAAAATGTGAAAAATTTTAAGCGTTTCCTCATTTTTTCAAATTTAAATGTTAAATTTATCATATCAAGACTTTTTGAGATACTCCAATGAATAAATGAAAATAACTTATCGAAACAACAAGATTATTATTTTTGTGTAAAATCAAATAAATCAGTTATAAACTAGTTCGCCATTATATCATATAGTATTAAGTTGCATTCATATTGCTTATAAAGTTGTTACATTACAGATCGTCCAAGTAATGTCTAGTAACGTCTGTTTTATATTGTACTTGCACTTGCCACCACTAAAAGTTTATAATAATACAAATATTTATTTTTCTATTACAGAATATACTGACGGCTTATAACGTGTTAGCATTATCTACGATGTGAATTGTGCTTTAATACCATATAAAATATATGTTATGTAAGTCAATCATGCTAGTTTTACGATTTCTGGTGTCCAGTGGTGTTCAGTCGTTTTGATTGATTGGGCCGCATTGAGTGAGGGGAAATTTCTCTTGGATCACATATAAAAAATAAGAAATAAAATGTAGTAAATGTATAATAAATACAATATTTCTTTTTTTTTTCGTTTTTTAGCCATATTATCTTCAAAACAAAACATTAGACATGTTTTCACTTATAATGTATCGCCGTTTCAATCCTATCATCACGTGGAATCCGCCACCAAAGATGTTTTGTCCATAAGGTAATTACATTTTGCTCGTCGTATTGGACAACCATCAATTGAAATTACCACAAGATACTTTTTTTGCATTATTTACTCTACTGGGCCACATGCGATACGAGAGCCGCATGTTGGATACCACTGCTCTAATGTAAAAGACACGTCTTAAATTTTAGTTCTACCTATGAAACACTAAGCGGCGCAGTAATACGTAGATGTGATATCTTTACTTGGTACGAGTCATATTAATTTGTGTATACACATGATATATGTATAATACTATTTATTTTTGTTTTGCTTTGGCGCGCGCATGAAATAATATTTTCCGTGGGTGGAACATAAATATTACTGATAAGATGTTGGTGTATGGAATATTTAAGATGTTCGATTGATTTTCCTGTTTTATAAGCTTGAGGGTGGGGAATGATGTATTTTATTATAGTAAATAAAATATTTTTATTTGAAAATAATACGTAATTTATTTTGAATTTTTCTTAGATATACAGTTTAAATGTACATGCGATATGTTTGGTTACAAGATAAATAGATAGGAAAAATTTTTGAAGATGAAAAAATGTTTAATATTAAATTGTGATAAATTGAAAAACATGATACAATTTTATGATAATTAAATATTAGACACTGAAATTTAAACACTATTAAGTAAGAAATATGAAATACAATATACTATGAATACTATAGGTGTATATATACACTCCGCATCTGATCGTCCACCCTTCGAAGGAGTATATATAAGACGTAAGTGAAAAGTTAATGCTAACTTTCAAGAACAGTTTTCATTTATTATTTAAATTCTTGGTCACATACGAATGTCTGTTTTAAATTACTTAAACGTCTGATTTAAGGTTGTCCATCTCTCCTACTTTTATAATGGTTTACGCCACAATGAAAACAGGCGTAATTCTTTATCGATTTTGATGAACAAGGTCTCATTTTAAAGACTAAGGTTTAATCTAGGACTTCATTTTTTCGAATTCATGAGAAAGTTTTATCTTCTTTGAAAAAAATCGTATTAAAAAATGATATTTTTTCGAGAATAGTTTATGCACCAATAAAAAGCTTTCCAAAAATTCGAAGAAGCAGAGTCCTAGATTAAACCTTCGTCTTTAAAGTAATATCAGTTTATCAAAATTGGTAAAAAATTACGTCTGTTCTTATTGTATAAATGCTATTTTCGACATTTTTCGCAAAGAAAAAGTTTTATACTGTAGCGCCCCTCGAAATTTGCGGGAAAAGAGAAGAAGCTTATATCCTCACTACTGACTTTCAAATTATGCTTGAATGGGGTATGTTTGTTCCTTGAAGTTGCAATTACCTGCTTGTTGAGTACGTAAATAGGTGACGCTCAGATTTTTTGAACCATTCCAAACGCAAAGAAATGCGTTTCACAATGCTCCCAGGGAGAAGCTATAATAAATTATTCGGCCACTCTTTGGACAGATGACTCTATGGCAAAAATAAGAAAATTCATGTACAATGTCAAAGATTGTAACGCGCGAGAAACTTAAAATAATTTTAATTTAAAATTTCGATACTTTAAAATTTTTATCTAGAGATTGTTGATCTTGTATAATATAAACATATATGGTTTTTTAGTAACTTCAACGATTACTGAGTTAATTTTCTTTCAACGAGTGAACATCGTCACTCTCTCTTTCTAAATGTGAAAACTTATAAATTAATACTTTTGATTTTAGAAATTAATATTTAAAATTTTCCAACTATTTAAACAATTTTTAATGTACACGGAGTATAATATACTAATATTTAAATAATAGTACATTCGCTTAAAAATTACAAAGATCGTAATGTGCGAGAAACTTAAAATAATTTTAATTTTTTTTGTATTAGACTTAAATTTTGAACTGGCGGTCGTTGGCTACGTGTGACGTGAACAAAATCAAACCTCTGATCGACTTCGACTGTTACTAAATCAGTCTTCCTTTGTATTTCGATGAGTAATCATCGAAGCTCTCTCAGGATGTCTTTCCTGCAAGTAGTAATGGAGACAATGATATTTCTATATCATACATTTCTTAATTAATTTATATAATTTTTTATTATAACAGTGATATTAATTATTTTGTTTGTATTTTTCTGTTTCAGAACTTCATTGCAGTCGCGCGCGTAATAATGAAATAATTGAGTGTTTGTATCGCTAAAATAAAAATATCGCCAAACACTGATTGTTGGTTTACGTTTCGCGATTTAAAGAAGTGTTTTTGCATCGACTGAGTGCAATGCAGTCGTTAGAATCAGTGTTTGTTCGCAAATTGTTTTGCTCTTTTAACAGTTGCACAAACTATATTTATAAAAGACAATAAAGTTTCGCGAAGTAAATTTAGTGGTCGCTCGTTAATAAATAACTACCGTGAATTAGAATCAGTGTATCACTGAAGAAATCTGATCCAACTTCGATATCGACCTACTTCATTTTCAATCATCTACAAATTATCTACCTTTAATTTCGACCTAAACCGCGGACGAATATTTTGGAATCATCGCAGAACTTCTTAAGTAGTAAGTGAATTTTTAAGTCCCTTTGATCACTCAATCATGTCGAAGGCGAAAGGTCTGAATCGATAAGAGTGATGTGGTTGTAATTAATTAGTAGAAGAGCATTGAGTAACCACGAGTAAATTTCTTCGGATATTTACTCGTGAATGGTTTCTTATTTTTTAATTTATTTATTAGATCAAAATAGGATCTTCTTATTTCATACGCATTTATAATTATTTGCAATTTGAATATTCTAATGCATTTTTAAATATTTTTTTCTCACGGAAGATATTCGCGATGAATAGTCATTAGATTACAAGCGAAACTGAGCATGATTTTCTTATAATAATTAAAATACTTGCTTGTAAGAAGGTACGTCCAAGGGTTTTCTTTATATTTTTAAATAACCATTAATTAAATATTTAATCAATTTGAATTGATAAAAGAAAAGTCTCAATCTTTTGAAAAAGAAAATCTCAAGAATCATTGCTTTTGAAAGAGTAAAATCGAGTAGAGTCATTGCTACAAAACAAAAAAACTCGTAGAGTCATAGTCCGTAGTCCTAGATGATAAATTAATTTATTTTTAGCTCAGGATTTTCAGCAAATAATATATTAATTCCAATTTCTCCTACGCTGCGAAAAGGTATCTCTCGAAAAGATAGTAATCAATTTCTATACAAAGAGATGAGTTTTATACTTACCAGATACGTTATGGTTGTGTTACAATTTTCTTCCATGTCTTAGAATTTGGAATTAAATTCTATTGTTATACTTTTTGAGTGATAATTGGTTTGGTTAGGGCATGAAGCAAAGAAGAGACTATATGCCGAAGAGTCCTCCACAATCTGTGGCTCAAAAGAGCAATTATAATTATTTTCAAATTATTTTCGAGAAAACTTTCGAGAATGATTTTCACCTATATTTTAATTTTAGCATATTGTCATTCAAAATGCTTTTATGGTGATAGGTGTAAGGGTATAGATTTGAAAAACTGAGACGACGTAATATTTTGTCTCCGGTTCCACGTTGTCATGCGTACGCTAATAGATTTATTTCATATTTTATGCATTTTTATTATTAAAATCGAGGCATAAAGTTTGTACATTTTCTCTGTTCTAAAGTTCAATTAAACTCATAATTTAAATTAAATTTATAATTTTATTTTAATAAAATCAAGTTTTATGTTGAAGTCGAGTGATAAATTTTGCATATTATCTCTTTTATAAAGTTCAATTAAATTCATAACTTTATTTTAATAAAATTGGGTTCTATAGTTTTTTCTATATTATAATTCTATGTATCAAAATATGACTTTAATACGAAACATATAAGATATAGTAATATATATAAGTAATTACGGGGATCACTTATAGTGCACTGGATGAAAATGCATATGAAGCTGAAACAAGCAGAATGGGATATGTGCCAAGTTCTCCAAGTTTTGCCACGCGTTACTAATATAATATTTCTTTCAGAGAAAATAATATTTCTTTAGATCAGTATTCAGAATTTTTCATTTTCTTTTACTTTTCTTAAATTAAATTAAATTAAATTCAGAATTTTAATCTTTCATATAAGTAATATATATATATTCTTTTTTTTCCTTATTTTTCTTTTATTTATTTTACTAACATTTAAATAATAACGATAAACGTAAAGTATAATTAACTAATATTTAAGCAACAGGATATTCTTAGCAACGTTATAAAGATCATATACATGTACTATTATATACTATCGATTAATACATATATTATCGATTTAAAATTGACAGTTTTAAATACATATCAGTTTAGATTTTTCTACGGGAGACCATAAATGAATTTTCAGATGCAGCAACATTCACATGATGATACCTGGATCGGCAAGACTTGCGATATATCGAAATTTCATGGGATGCAAGTATTATCGAGCGAATGAATGGATATTTCAATGCTTTTCCAAAATCTTTTCTTTCTAATTCTAATTAAACCTTAAAGTACTCACATTTTACATTGCTAATCATATTTTCATAGATAAATGAATTAGAAATATATAGAATTCTAAAATAATATCTTAGAGAAAGGCATAGAAAACTTTTCTATCTCACTTATGTTCGCTGTCATTCCTATTTATTCTTATTTACTCTTATTATTTATTATTTATAAGTTTCGGGTGGGATCCATGGGTGTAGATCTTTGTGGAGGCTGTTGTCTCAGCATCGTATAGAACTTTCGATTGCGACTCCCGAGAAGAACTCTTTGGTATGGAACTTCGGATGGGTCTCCTTTTTTTAGTAGGGAAAAATCGAGCTCAATTTTGGTATTCTGATTTTGGTCGGATGGAGCGATATTCAATATGTTCATGTTGCGTTCCGAATTCCATCTTTGTCACATAGTCTGTCTTTTTTTCCTTTTTTTTCCATTATTTTTTCCATCTCTTCTTCTTCTTTAGGCTGGATCATCGAGGGTTAGATTCATCTGCTGGATCATCGAATTCATCATCGGATGAGTTCGATGTATCATCGAATGGCTCATCTTAGATTTTTACGCGAGAATATGGGAAGAATAGAGCTCTCGTTGGGCACAGACGTATGTTCGCGGTGCGATTAAAAGTCCTACGATGATGGACTTCGTTTGATAGCTCGAAATTTCAAATAGAAGATCGGTCATATTAGAGAACGGTGTATGTAGCTGCCGATGTTGTGACGGTCCTGTTATCTAGAGGAGACTGACCTTCCTCTAGATAGCGTCTGGAGCCAGAATTCTCGGTTAGCTCATATCGCCTCGGAAACGCGGATTGTAAAGTCACCGGTATTTCA